AAATAGGCTAGTGTGGAGGCGGTTTATTTTATTTTTTTAAAAAAACATATTTTATTGACTTTATACAGAGAGGAAGGGAGAGAGATAGTTAGAAATATTGATGAGAGTCATCGAACAGCTGCCTCTTGCACACCCCCTACTGGGGATATTAGAAATATTGATGAGAGTCATCCAACAGCTGCCTCTTGCACACCCCCTACTGGGGATATGCCTGCAACCAAGGTATGTGCCCTTGACCAGAATCGAACCCAGGACCCTTAAGTCCCCAAACCTACGCTTTATCCATTAAGCCAAACCGGTTTCGGCTGGAGGCGGTTTTTTGAGGGGTCCATACCTAAAGGCTGGATGATCAGTTAAGGAAATGTGATAGTCAGGTGAGCGTCCATAAGGGGTAAAACTAAGTCATTGATCATAAAGACGGAACTGGCAGAACTTGGTTTATCAACAAGTCATGGGAAGTGAAAGAGAGGGAGCAACTGAAGATGGCTTTCTCTTCTTGATGTCTAGATGTGGATGGTGGTGTGACCAAACATTTCTGCGAAAATCCTATAGGCAGTTGGATTTTGAAGCTCAAGGGAACTATCTGAACTGGAAAATGATTTGGGAGTCATCAGCATAGAGGAGGTATTTAAAAGCATGACGTTGTGCCCTGACTAGTTTGGCTCAGTGGATAGAGCGTCAGCCTGCGGACTTAAGGGAGCAGGGTTCAATTCCAGTCAAGGACACGTACCTTGGTTTCGGGCACACGCCCAGTGGGAAGTGTGCATGAGGCAGCTGATTGATGTTTCTGACTCTCATCCCTTTCCCTTCCTCTCTTGTAAAAAATCAATAAAATAAAAATAAATAAAAATGAAATCATGAGGTTGGGCAAGTTTCTCCAGGGGAGAATACGTAGATGAAGAAGAGCCCTGAACAAAGGATAGACTCCTTAGAGGTGGGCTGAGGGAAAGCTGGTGAAAGAGAGAGTGAAATAATACCAGTGAGAAATACCAGGAGAATCTGGAGTATTTAATACATGGAAAATTTAACTAAAGAAGGGAGGAATCGGCATTGTCAATGTGCAGCAGAAATGACATGATGTCATTACAGTGGTCATTAGACTTGGTCAGGGAAAGATCATTTGCAGGAGGGTGGAGTAGGAAACCAGATTGCACAGTGATTAAGGTGCGAATGGGAAGTCAAGAAGTGAAGTCAGTTACTATAGATAGCTTGCCTTTTTAAGAACATTCTGTCAATAAAGACGGTGAAGCTAGAGCTTAGGTGGCATAGCTCAACTCAGATGATCTCAACTATCTTGAGAGAAAAGTATAGAATGTATCATGTGTGTATTTGTATTGAATAACTATTAAATAAGTAGATTTAATCAAATATCAGCACCAAACTTTCAGATTTTTATTTGCCTTTATTCCTTGTGTGTCATAATATTCCTTTCCTTTGACCAACATTTTTTCTTTAACTTATTTCTGTCCCATCTGTTCAATGCCAGAAAATGTTTAGGTACTGGGACACTTTCCACAGAAATCTTCATGTCTCATTTCAAGCTACTTCCGGCTTTGGTCATAAAAAAAAAAAAAAGCTGATATTTGCACAGTAATCAGAATTCCATCAAGAAATGGTGTGTACCTTAAATCTAAGTCATGTTATTTTTGTAATGACTAGTATTAGAATAACAAGGTGTAGCCTTGTTCATCTCTGAAGGATTTAATGTTTAGCAAAGGTAGAATAGGTGGGAGGCTGGAATTAGAGAAATAAAAGGTTGAACTATGTACCCTGCACCCTGCGGGTACTCCTTAATTAGTTTTTGAATGACTAATCAGGTATTTAATGGACTACAGAACACAGGCAAGACAAGGTGGTAGCCAGAGCAGGCACTTTGTGGAGTAAGCTCACACAAAGGTCCAACTTGAAGGATTCTCAGGGAAATGTCAGGGATAGCGATACAGTATGTATAAACTGTATTTTATACCTTCTAAGATCTTCTATAAGCCAGGAGGGAAAACTTATAATTATCAAGAAAATAAAGTAAGATCCAGCCACCCCACTTCTGATATATATCCAAAGAAAACGGAAGCATGATCCCAAAGACATATCTGCACTCCCATGTCCATTGCAACATTATTCACAATTGCCAAAGTCTGGCAACAACCTAAGTCTGGCAATGGATAAAGAAGCTATGGCATTCATACACAATGAACTATTACTCAAACATGAGAAAGAAGGACGTCCTGCTACAACCATTTGCTACAACAATGGGTAGAACTTGAGAGCAGCATGCTAAGTGAAATAAGCCAGGCAGAGGAAAACAAATGCTACATCATATCACTTATATATATGGGCTAATAATTTTTAAAAAGTAGAACTCATTGAAATGGAGAGTAGAAAAGTGGTTTACAGGGTTGGGAGGGGAGAATAGGGAGAGGTTGGTAAAAGGGTACAAACTTTCAATTATGAAATGAGTAAGGTATAAGGATCTAATGTATAACATGTGATTATAGGTGATACCATAGCTGATAACACTGTAACTGAAATTTGGTGAGAGGTGAACTTACATGTTCTCATGGGACGGGGGAGCTAAATTATGTGGGATAATGGCTGTGTCAATTAACTCTATGGGGGGAATCTTTTCACAATGTCATGTATATTAAATCACCACAATGTACATTTAAATAACTTATAATTTTGTCCATTATATCTCAATAAAGCTAAAAAAAAAAGGACAATAAAGTAAAAAAGTGTTTTATATAGTGATTGTTTATAAGTTTGCTGGGAATTTGTTCTGGGGAAGAGTTTGAGTCGTAGGGAATAGCGTTTCCATCCTGAGAACAATGACACTTTTCACTCTTCCAAGTTACAGGCTGTTGCATCAGGGTGAAAGCCAGAGCTGATTCATGTTCAGATTGCTTCCTCCTGCATTTTTAGTCTTTTTTCATGTAGTTTCCTCTTTCTGTGTCTCTCACTTTGATGGCCTCCCCTTCAGCTATTGATGCTGTGGTTACATGAAAAATGTTCATTCATTTTACAAACAAGCGCAGGGAAACTCCCTGTTAAGATCTCTACGTGTCACCAGGCACGTTTGAATCATAATCCCTGTTAAGGCGTTTAAAGAAATTACACCCAGTGGTAGGAACATAAAGTAGAAAACTTCATAAAAGATTACATACTCAGTTCCACGGGGTGTACTCCCACATGCAAGAACCGGGCCTTGAACATTGTTATGTCTCTTGTCAAGCTCAGCCTGGCACAGAGTTAATTTACTGGATCACATGTCAGTCTGTTTGACAATGATGGACAGAGGATGTGATTTTAAATAAGGTACATGAACATTTTATGCCTATTTTTCTCAGCCAGAAAATAGAATACCTATTTTGGGCCTATCATATACTTTTTTTAAAAAAATATATATTTTATTGATTTTTTACAGAGAGGAAGGGAGAGGGATAGAGAGCCAGAAACATCGATGAGAGAGAGACATCAATCGCTGCCTCCTGCTCACTGGGGATGTGCCCGCAACCAACGTACATGTCCTTGACCAGACTCAAACCTGGGACCCTTCAGTCCGCAGGCCAATGCTCTGTCCACTGAGCCAAACCGGTTTCGGCAGGGCCTATCATATTCTAAGCTACTTCATTAAATGACGGCTTAAAAAAAAAAAAGACCGCTGAGACTGGTTTGGCTCAATGGATAGAGCGTCGGCTTGGGGACTGAAGGGTCCCGGGTTCGATTCCGGTCAAGGGCATGTACCTTGGTTGCGGGCATATCCCCAGTAGGGGGTGTGCAAGAGGCAGCTGATCGATGACTCTCTCTCATCGATGTTTCTAACTGTCTATCTCTCCCTCCACTCTGTACAAAATCAATAAAAATATATTTTAAAAAAGACCAAAAAAACCCCCCTAAAAAGGTAATTTGATATACTTGAACTTTTAATGTGTAAGATATTGGGAAGCTTTCCAGGTTCACCTTAAAAATAACAAAAAGCTGATAGACTAGTCCCCATTCTGAGGATCAAGGCACCTGGCTCTACGCAGGACCCAGCTCAGTTCTGGCTCACACCCCTCACCTCCCTGGCCTGTGTCCCCTCATTACCTTCGCTGTCCCCTTTGACTATGGAATGTGGCCAGTACGTATAAAATACACACCAGATTTCAAAGGTTAAAAAAAAAAAAGCAAAATAGCCCTGGCGGGTTTGGCTCAGTGGATAGAGCGCCAGCCTGCGGACTGAAGGGTCCCCGTTGGATTCCCATCAGGGGCATGTACCTTGGTTTCGGGCATGTCCCCAGTGCGGGGTGTGCAGGAGGCAGCTAATGGATGTTTCTCTCTCATCCATGTTTCTAACTCTCTATCCTTCTCCCTTCCTCTCTGTAAAAACACCAATAAAATACATTTTTAAAAAATGGAACATATTTTACGAATAATATTGAGTCTACTTTGAAATATTTTGCAAATATTGGGTAACATAAGTCCTTCACACCAATGTCACCTGATCCTTTTTGCCCTTTTGATGTGACTACGAGAAAAACTGAATACATATTCAGCTTCGAGTCTAGGTGAGCACTAACATCTCTTGCAGCTTTGGCAGACAGCTGGGGGCGTGCACGGGGGGTTGGGGGGGGCTGTCAGGGACAGGAATTTCGAATTTCGCACGATTCTGCGTGGACCCGGCAGGTGGGCCCGGAGCGCGCGGCGGGCGGCGGGCCCGGCCTCCCCTCTGGCGACGTCAGGGCGGCGGCGCGCGGCGGGCGGGTCCGGGAAGCGGCTCCGCCGCCGGCCCGCGCGCAGCAGGAAACCGGCCGGAGGCCCCGGGCGGCGGCGGGCGCGGGCGGCCGGGCACGTCCGCAGGCTCCGGGGAGGTGGCGGCCGCTGAGAGGCCGGGGCGCGAGCGCGCGGGGAGGCGCCGGGAGGCGGGGCGCGGGCGGGGCCGGCGGCGCGGCTTCATCTGCGGACGCACGGCCTGCTCCGGGGCTGCTTCCCCAGGGCGCCGGGCGGGATCGGCTGGGCCGGCCATGGACCGCCGCTGGGGCTTCCTGATCGGCCTCCTGAGCGCCGCGTGGCTGCTGCTCCGCTCCGGCCACGACGAGCCGCGGCCCCCGGAGACGCCCCCGGAGACGGCGGCGCAGCGGTGCTTCTGCCAGGTGAGGGGCGCGGCCGGCTGACTCCCCGGGGCGCCCCGGCCCCGTCCCGCGCCGCATCCCGCGCGCCCCGGCGGGGGGAGGTGCCGGGGTGCATCTTTGCATCTGCACCCGCCGGGAAGGAGCCCCCCGGAGCCCCTGCTCCCCCGCCCGGCTGAGCCCTCTGCCGGGTCGGTGGGGACCGCTCTCCCGCGCTCCGGATCGGGCGTGGGGCGGTGTGTGTGTGTGTGTGTGTGTGTGTGTGTGTGTGTGTGCTTGCCGTATGTTTCCACCCAGTTGACTTGTGCATCTTTGCATCGGTCTTCCCTACGCAGGGAGGGTGTGCACGGCGTGCAAGCACACGCACCGTTTTCTGTTTGCACAGAAGCGGGGTCTTTCTAACGTCCAACTGCACCCGCGGACGCGGTGCCCGTGCGGGGTGCCTCCGCCAGCCTTTCGGGCCGGGACGGGCTTTCGCAAGGGGGCGGGGGCGGGGGAGGGGTGTGGTGTCGGTGCTGCTGTCAAACCTCGTTGTCAGGCGGGGAACGGCTTCCTGGGGCTTTTCTGTGACTAAGCCCAGCGCCTGGTTGGTGTCTTTGGGTCGTGGCACCTCTTGGCTCCTCACCCCTGTGCGTTTTTTTCATTTTCCTTAATGGCATGAGGTTCTCTTACCGTGATAGCCATACAACAGGTCTGAAGTGGGCTGATAACAAATTTGATATGGAGCACGTTATGATCATTTCCTTGTGTTAGGGATGAACAAAAAAATTCAAAGAACTTTCCAGGTTTCTGAATCTCCAAGTTCTGGTATTTTAATGACTCTTTTTTTTTTTATTATGAACTATTTTTTAAATTAAATTATTATCTGTGTACATATTTTAACATTGTCCCCCCCTCCCATACCTACCCTCCATTGGTTGTACTTATATGCATGTATACAAGTCCTTCGGTTGATCTCTTATCTCCCCCAGATCTTCTTCCCCTCCCCACTGTAATTTGACAGTCTGCCTGTTGCTTTGCTTTCTCTATCTCTGTCTCTTGGTTCATCAGTTTATAAAGAGCTTTATTGTCCACCAATGAGTGAGGTCATGTGGTATTTCTCTTTCATTGATTGGCTTATTTCACTCAGCATGATGTTCTCCAGTTCCATCCAGGTTGCTGCAAATAATGAGAATTCCTTCTTTTTTATGGCAGCATAGTATTCCATTGTGTAGATAATGTCATGACTCTTAAAGACACCGTTTAGTTGGCTTCTGTGGACACAAATGACAAAATTGAGGGTAGGCATCCATATTGTTCCATTTATTGTTTCATTTATTGTCAAGAATAACATTTTATGTTTGTAAAGGCAACCGTAGGATGTCACAGAGGATGAGAACACTCATGTATCAGGAGAGATCTTTCTCACTGCTTTAAATCCCCGGGTTTTGTTTTGTTTTGCTTAGGGATTTGGGTGTTAGATGTTATCTGGCACCTTGTGAGATAAGTTACAAAGAAGCTGCTGTTTTACAACTAAGAGATTGAAAAGCTCCTTTACCTTCAGTGATTGTGAACGGGCACACAGCATTTCAATAGGAAAAGGGTCATTTTTCTTCCGGCCACAGAAATCATGTAACACAGAGTTTAAACATTTAAAAATAAGTAATTAGAAATAAGGCCTGTGGTGTTGAAAGAAGATGCCCAAAATCACATCTTCGACTGCGTTCTAGAAATTGGATAATGGAGTAAAATTTCATGTTGAGCTTTTCATTTTTCACTCCCCCACCCCCAAAACCTTTTCACATATCTAAAATTGGGGAGCTTTTAAATTTTAACATTTATTGATTGATCAATCTGAGAGAGGTATTTGTTGTTCCACATATGCATTCATTGGTTAATTCTTGTATGTGCCCTGACCAGGGGCTCAAGTCCACAACCTTGGCACATCAGGATGATGCTTTTTCCTTTCCCCAATCCCCCTCAAATTTATAAAAAATAAAAATAAAAAAGAGCTACAGAAAAGGAGTTGCTCCAATCTACTCTATCAACAAATGAATAATGTTCTTTTTTTAAAAAAAAATATATATTTTATTGATTTTTTACAGAGAGGAGGAGAGAGGGATAGAGAGTTAGAAACATCGATGCGAGAGAATCATCGATCAGCTGCCTCTTGCACACCCCCTACTGGGGATATGCCTGCAACCAATGTACATGCCCTTGACCAGAATCGAACCTGGGACCTTTCAGTCCGCAGACCAACACTATACCACTGAGCCAAACCGGTTTCGGCTCAATGTTATTTTTTATGGTCACAGAACAATAAAATTAATGAAGCTAAAGTTATTTGCCAGATAAAGTATTTTGAGCACTTTTAGAAAGTATTTCAGATTTATATGAGGTTGAGGACTATATTCTTACAGTGCTTTAGGGGGAAAAAAATGATGTCTGTGGTAGGACTTGAAGTTGGTAGTACCCAAGGAAATTATTTAGAAAGTAGTTTTTGTTTTGTCTTTCATTGAAAACGGAAGTTCACCTCTAATCAGAGAACAGTGAACAAGCAGGCCAGCATTCTTTCTTCTCTTTTGCCTTTTATACAGTATTTGGTATTCCGTTCAAACCAGTCAGAATCAATGGAGAAAGCAATTGAGGCTCCTTCTTCCATGGCTGGCTTTTGGTTATCTTTTCTGTGTTCTATTGGGGCTACAGATGTAAGGCTTTTGGAAATTTTTACTTTAAAATTTATTGAAAACTCGGCCTCCCCCACCTCCTGTTAAAAACCTGTTGTGGGCTGCTTTGGGGAATAAGCCCTTTCACTGAAAGTATTTTAACAGTGATTTCCATTTTACTTTGTCATTTTATTTTATGTTTTTATTGACTTTAGAGATAAATAAAGGGAGAGGAAGAGAGAAATACATAGACTGGTTGCTTCCTGCATGTCCCCTACCAGGGATCCAGCCTGCAACACGGGCATGTGCCCCAACCAGGGAATCAAACCGTGACCTCCTGGTTCATGGGCCAACACTTAACCACTGAGCCACACCAGCCAGGCTAAATTTTTAATTTGCGGAAGAATCATGAAGATAGTACAGAGTTTCCATATACTCCATACCTAATTTCCTCTATGATTAACATCTTACATTAGTATGTTACATACCTTACAATTAATGAACCAATATTATAACACAGTATTCCTAACTAAAGTCCATATTTTATTCAGATTTTCTTGGTTTCCCCCTAATGTCATTTTATTTTGATATCAACTTTTTGAGATAGGAACTGTTACTGTTTCTATTTTGTATTCAGATAGGAAACTGAGGCCTAGAGAGGTTTAAAAAACGCAGGTAAAGAAACAGCAGATAAATAGTAGAGATGAGATTCAACCCTGGCTCAGAGCCCGTATGCTCACCTTTGTTATCCGCGGCCTCCTCCTGGAAGGAGTGTAGGAGGGGATTGCTGTGTTCCTTGGGAGGTTGCAACAGAAGCCTTCCAAGGCTTTCCAGTTCTTAGGAAACTAGGACTTTAATCTGGGTGATGTTATTTCAGGCCTACATTGGTTCTCAAGCCTACCCTTCCTCAACAAGGGCCTTTTAATTGCCACTTATTAATTTGGGCCCCTGCCCATGGCTGAATACCATCTGGAGTTTCACATTTAGCATGCATCAACCATGTTGTGGTGTGTGTGTGTGTGTGTGTGTGTGTTGTACATTTTTTAAAAACTCAGATGTCTGTGGCATGGCCAGGTTTCTGTTGCACTTTTGGGAACAGGAGTAGTAGTTATTTAAGCAGGCTGAGTACATTCTGAGTACAACATCATGTCATCCTTATTATGTGTCCGCACCTGTCTTTTGGTTTTCCGTTAGGTAATAGGACTTTGCTTTGTTTCCAAGATTCAGCTCTGGGTCTGTGGACTGGATTTCTACTGTAGTCTTCCTTGGGACTCTATTTTGGTACCATGACTGGTTCTCTAGTTGCTAGAACCGGGTGTGGTGTTTTTCCTGCCAGACTTCCTGCCAGGTTTCAGGTTCTGCTACCTGTTGGCAGGCTTATCCTAATGGTCAGATGACTTAGATCCCTAAACTCCTTCCCGTCTTGTCTTTGCTGAGCTCTCTCTACCCAGTGGTCCCCATTCTGCTTCCTTAGCTGCCCTGCGACCCTCTTGTTGAGTTGGGGAAACCTCCGAGTCAATTTCTAAGGTGAGACGATTTAAAAATGTACCATGTAAGCCCAACCAGGTTTGGCTCAGTGGATAGAGCGTTGGCCTGCGGACTGAAAGGTCCCGGGTTCGATTCCGGTCGAGGGCATGTACCTTGGTTGCGGGCACATCCCCAGTGAGGGGTGTGCAAGAGGCAGCTGGTCAATGTATCTCTCTCACCGATGTTTCTAACTCTCTATCCCTCTCAATTCCTCTCTGTGTAAAATCAATAAAATATATTAATATTAAAAAAAATAAAAATGCACTATTTAAAATTTGGCAGGTATAATGCCCCGCCTCCTCTCCTTTTGAGGCCTCTGGGCGGTATGCCACCTTTGCCCCGGATGCATCTTGCATTCCTTTCTGGCTTGGGGCTTCTTATAGCTTCCTTTGTAATGAGGATGTGGATCAGTAGAATGTTGGATGTAAAGGGTTGTTATCTTTGCAGCTTGCTTCGCTTGCTCTGTGAGTGCACGCCTGCCACTTGAGCCGGTGTGGTCGGGGCACCATAGTGACACGGCGGTACAGAAGTCTGGCTAGGCAGTGCGGTACTTGTCTGCAGTGAGAGCAACACTGCACAGCAGTTCTCCATTCATTCACCCGCCCATTCACAAATAGTTATTGATCATCTACTGTGTGCATTCTAGAAGTTCAGCAGTACTAAGTTCATACAAAGAGGAACAAACATGATTTCACTCTCAGGGATTTTGAACTGTAGTGGGTGGGAGTGAAATAGACAAATTCAACACAATGAAGTGATGATCGTATAGAAGAGTAGGTGGACTGTCATGGGAGCACATGGGAGGGACAGTTAACACAACAAGGGGTGAGTGGGACCCCAGGGGCAGCTTCTCAAAAGAGGTGATGCTTACTTAGGCTTGAGTGTTGAAGATAGACTTTGTCTTAAAAAGGAGTTCCTCCGGAGGAAACATGGATTGTTTCAAACTCTTTCTGTCAAGTATTTTATGTGTTGGTTTCTTTTTGTGATTTAATGTCTCTATCTGGCACCTGTCCCTTTGGCCTTTGTAGTCTTCGTGCCAGTTATTCTTTGTATAATATTTTGTATCCTGCCCCTACCTTCATGGCGAGTTCCAGATGATGTGCAGGAGGGCTGACGACACAATGATTACACGATACAAGAAATATGAATTTCGAAGGCATTGGGGGGCCAGGTGGAAACCTCTTTTGTGAAGAAGCTCACAAAGTCTGAAGTCCAGATCCTGCCCCCTTTCATTTACTTTGAATACACATTTTCCCTTTAGCAATGCATACAGGTAGGTCAAAGGTAAAGTTTGGTAAGCAATCTAAGGATTATCAGGTCAGGAAATCACCTGGAGCCATTGCAATCATAGCAGGAGCAATCTTGTGTTTATTCCAGCTGGAATCAACGTCCATTGGCCTTCCTATGTCTCTTTTGCACTTTTATGCAAATGCTTGTTATGCTTTGGCCGCCAGCCTATCCAACGGGAGGAACAGTACCTATTTCATGCCCTTTAGAAGTTCTGCTTTTAAGAATCAAAAGAAAAAGGTGTGAAAAATCAAATCACCTAGGTTAGCAGCACTTTGGTTTTGTTGATACCCAGAATTAGGACTCTGAGGTTTTTGTATACCCAGAGAGCTTTTAGGGCATATTTGCATATGAATTGAAAATAGTTATTACAGTGACAAATATGTAGATCAGATTTCTAGAAAATGAATCTTAGTCTAAAATAAATAAGACTAGGCAAGGTAAAAAAAAATCTTAACTCTTGAATATTGCTGTCAAGAGGTGAAAAATTTTCATTCAAATTCATAACTTCTCTTAGTAATCTATGGCGTTTATAGCATGACTGGATGCCATGGTACATTCATCAATAATGAGAAGTTGGGCCTTTTTAATGGTTTTAGAAACTTCACTCTTTATTCGAGTCTAGAAATTGAAGTTTCATTTAATGGAATTGGTCATTTATATTGGGAATGAGAGGTTCTTCCACCGAGAAGTAAATTTGCAGCAATTCCTGTAGATGCTGTGCGTAAACCAGTACCGTCACAACCTCTACCATAATGTATTAAAACGTTATAAAGATATGGTTTTTCACTACCACCAGGACCATCCAAGAAAAAGCATTTGGGGGTGTACAGTTTGATCTTTGATGGCTGAAGTTATAGTCTGAAAGGCTGCCAACTGTTCATTGTTCAGGGAATTGATCAAAACCTCTGCCTGTTGTAGCCCGTACAATTCATCACATGTGTTTGTATTCGTTAATAAAGGAGAGTCCGGAAGTTTGAAATCCTAACATTTCATTCCACGCAATATGAATACTTCTTGAATTTCATTAAGGCCATGCATTTCACAGTTCACACAGGCACCTTCTCTTTGGTGTACTTTCCAACAAAAATCTTCAATAAAATGAGATTTATTTTCATTCCATAATTTGTCTGTATCAGAAGGACATCCAAATATGTATATATATATATATATATATATATATATATATATATGCAAAAAAAATTGCCTTACTTATTTGGGCATATTAAGGATGACCACATCATCAATCGTATCTTTCCAGATAGTGTCCTCAATTAATAATCCCCGATGTTTAGCAGCTTCACGAAAAGTATCATAAATTATACCTCCTACAGTTCACAGATCAGCAAACCTTACCTCACCGTTTACATGCAGAAGTAAAAGTCTAAGGTAATAAATATCATTCTGGTTCTCTAAGCTCACAGTGAATGCCTGCCCTTTTAGCATTTTCTCCACGAAGAATTATTAAACACATAATTTTGTGGAATCTCCCATTTCTAATAATTATGCATGTCAAAATCTTCTTGGCGCCAATGAGAGCTTTATATGTATTGCACATGTGCGAGTCAAAGTTTATTTTTAAATTGCCAGTGCGCGTCATATGTACCGGCCGGTTGGTTGATCAGATGGTCAGACAGATGGCCGGTAGGTCACTTAACCTTTTCCTATATAATAAAAATGTGGTGTGCAAATTGTCCCCTTGACCAGGAGTTCATCCAGGAGTTCGACCCGGGGATGGGCTGGCTGGGGGAAGGGAGGGAGCACTCGGCCAGCAGCTGGCGGCCACTAGGGACACTACCAGTGCACGAATTTTGTGTGCTGGGCCTCTAGTATATATATAAGATTATTGTTTGTCTCACAAGTTCATTATCACTTCACCCATCTTGTCTCTAAACTACACATCCTGTGGGAAACTAACATAAGGGAAAGAGAAAACAGAATTATAAGGACATAGAGTCCCAGAAAAGCCACGGGTGCCAGACAGCTGGGCTTCAGGAAAGACGGCAGAAGTGGGGGAATCCCACGGAGTCCAGGGGGCATATGTTTTCTATCTCCTCTCTCTGGTTCTTTGTGCATGTTCTAAAATCTTCCCTTTCCCTGCTAATTGGTCACGTGCTCTTCAGTTCACATGATGGACTATGGTCTGAGTTACCTGCTTTCTGTCTAGGGAGAGACATCATGGTTTCAGTTCCTGGAGAAGGGAGAGTGATCTGGTTTGGGTCAGATGTGCCTTTTGTATCTATCTTTGTGTCACCCACCCCTGGCCAGGCCTGGCGGGCAGGGCTACCGGGTGGCTGCAGGAGACCAAACCTTTGGGGGTAGATGTGTCATTATCGTTAGGTCCATGCTGACAGGAGGCAGGCCATTCACGTTGTGAGAGTGTAAGAAATTTTATTCCATTCTCTCATAGTGGGCTGAGACCAGGGTGTTGGTGTCAGCCCCCAGGGGGTGGTGAGGTTCTCTTTTATAGGGTGGACGTATGCAACAGAGGGTCAGGATGTAGGTACATGAGTTGGTCAAGGGGAGGGGAGGGTGCAAGTGGGTCGAGGGAGGCAAGGGAGGAGAGTGCACAGGTCGGTCAGGGGGAGAGGAGTTCTTATCTCGCTTCTGCAGGCACCCACTGGCCTGCCCCACGCTATGAGCAAAGGCTTATGACAATAAGGAGAGATGAGGGGTAGTTCATCCTAACAGTTATGAGCTCAGTACACCCTACAAAAAGTATCCACAGTATCTCTCTAGGTCCATAGTAAGAGCAGTAGCCTGACTAGATTATTGTTCTACCCTATCTCAGAAAACTACGGGAGGAGGGAGGATAAAGGCTGATTGAGTAGAGCACTTTCCTCCTGACGAGGTGAGGAAAAAGAACTCTGTTGCCTCTAAGACATTTTGGTTTAATATTTCATTTTCTTTGTAACAGGTCAGCGGTTACTTGGATGATTGTACCTGTGATGTTGAAACCATTGATAAATTTAATAACTACAGGCTTTTCCCAAGACTACAAAAACTTCTTGAAAGTGACTACTTTAGATATTACAAGGTATTTTAATTTTTAATTTTGTGTAAGCATACTTAAAGTTTTAATAGATAATTACATTTTCTTAGGCATTGCTAGGCTTCAAAATTGTGGCTAGTGCCTGAAATTGATTGAGGACATATTAGGAAAATTCAGTTTACAAGAGTGAACAACATGGTTCTGAGACTACCCATAGTATACTTTTAATTCCAATAACTGAATTTTAGACAAGTTGGAAACTAGTAGGATAAACTGAATTAAAAAAAAAAAAAGAAACTATTATGTGTATTGTAATAAAAATCGTGAGTTCATAATTTTCTAAAACATCAGGTTTATTCCAATTACTTAATATAAGTAAATTAAATATCTCTGAGAAGCATAGCTATATTTTAACCTGTATTATTTTAACAAGTCACTCGTCATATTTTATCTTGAGATATCTACTGGAAGATATCTCAATGATTAGAAAACCTGATAATTGGATTATGCAGCTATAGTCTAAGTTGACAGTTGTCTAATGATTCTGCCATGTTAACTGCTACTTGCTTTAACAGAATGTGAGTTGAGTAGCGGTGATCTGAGCTTCTTTGGCTCCTGGTTGCCATCTGCTCAGGGTTTGTTTAGTCATAGTCCGTATCTTTCTAAGTCTACCAATTTACTTACGACAGCTACATATTTATGTCCACATTGGAACTTGACACCTGCTCAGTGAAAGAAACAGAATAATTGCAGCCGATAACACAATCAGGTTATAACACCACAACTCAACATGTGTTAATTCTAAACTTTTTCTGTTTTTAGAGGTTGTTTTTAAATGTTTTCTATTGTTATTTTTTACAAGGTAAACCTGAAGAGGCCCTGTCCTTTCTGGAAAGATATCAGCCAGTGTGGAAGAAGAGACTGTGCCGTCAAGCCTTGTGAATCTGTAAGAACCGTGTCTGTATTTAAGAACTGTTATCATCCTTTTTCAAATAATTACAGCTATTTAAAAGGAGACAATATAACTAAATTGATATTTTAATCCTTAGGCTAAATATAATGTGTGATATGTACATATTTAAAAACCTAAACGTACAAATATAAAACACTTTGAATTATACTGCTGTTATAATAATAGAATTAAAATTTTGTGGTTAATGTAATCCTTTTACTTCTTAGTGAGATGAATACAAACGGTCCCCAGTTTAATCGGTAGTTCAGCTTATGGCTTTCTGACTTTAGGGTGGTGTGAAAGCTGATTCAGTAGGAGCTGTGATTTGAGTTTTGACCTTTTGCTGGGCTGCTTCCTTTGGTATGACAGTCTCTCGTGATGCTGGGCAGGGGCAGAAAGATGCTTTTGCCCAACCATAGGCGAATGTACGTGTTCTGAGCACATTGAAGGTAGGCCAGGCTCAGCTATGAGGTTACGTGAATGAAATTCATTCGACTTAACTGTGTTTTCAGCTTATGATGGGTTTATCGGGGCATAAGCCATTATAAGTCAAGGAGCATCTGTAGTTTTTTGGCTTGATATTTGTTTTTCTTCTTAAGTCTTTCCTGAACAAAGTTATGTTTGTGGTATAATAAAATGAAATCAATCAAGGTATAAACCAAATCCCTCTCCTTTTTTGTGGGTGTATTCTTTTCCTTGTGTTTCCTTGATTAGGCAGGAGTTGGAGAAAATACCTGGTTTTATGTAGGATTTCTCAGAGCATGATCGTTTGCAGTGTTCTACTCTGAAAGCAGAGAATTTTATGCTTTTCAATGAAGCTCTTTTTTTTCCTTTAAAAGTATATATTTTTGTCCAACCAGTGTGGCTCATCAGTTGAGTGTCAATCTATGAAACAGAAAATCACGGTTTGATTCCCAGTCAGGGCATGTGCCTGGGTTGTGGGCTCCATTCCCAGTGTGGGGTGTGCAGGAGGCAGCCGATCAATGATTTTCTCTCATCATTGATGTTTCTATCGCTCGCTCCCTTCTTCTCTCTGAAATCAATGAGAACATATTTTAAAAAGGAATAAAAGTTTATATTTTTACTTTTTCATCATGGTAGAATACACATAAACATAATTTTACTATTTTAATCATTTTTAAGTGTATAGATCAGTGGTCAGCAAACTCATTAGTCAACAGAGTGGCAAACGTGGCTCGCCAGCTGCATGTGGCTCATGAGCCACGGTTTGCCGACCACTGGTATAGTTCATTGACATTAAGTACTACATTGTTGTGCAGCCATCACCATCTCCCACCCCCAGAACTTTTTCATCTTCCCAAACTAAAATGCCATACTCATTAAACAATACTCTCTATGCCCTGACCCCTCTATCCCCTAGCAATCACTATTCCACTTTCTTTCTCTATGAATTTGACTATTCTAGGTCCCTTGTATAAATGGAATCATTACAATATTTGTACTTTTGTGTCTGGTTCATTTCACTTAGCATATGTTTTCAAGGTTTATCTGCATTGCAGCATATGTTTTATTCATTTTTTTTGTTTTGTTTTTTGTTAATCCTCACTGAGGATATTTTTCCCATTGCTTTTTTTTTTTTTTTTTTTTTTAAAGAGTGTTTAGCCAAAACCGGTTTGGCTCAGTGGATAGAGCGTTGGCCTGTGGACTGAAAGGTCCTATGTTCTATTCCGGTCAAGGGCATGTAGCTTGGTTGCAGGCATATTCCCAGTAGGAGCTGTGCAGGAGGCAGCCGATAGATGTTTCTCTCTCATCGATGTTTCTAACTATCTCTCTCTCTTCCTCTCTGTAAAAAATCAATACAATATATTTTTTAAAAAATCCTGAAAAAAAAGAGAGTGTTTATGGGGTGGGGATGGGGGGGGGAGAGAAAGGGGAGAGAGAGAGGAGAGAGAGAGAGAGAGAGAGAGAGAGAGAGAGAGAGAGAGAGAGAGAGAGAGAGAGGTGACAGAGACATGACTACTGACTGATTGTTTCCCACACATATCCAGACTGAGAATTGAACCCATGACCTTTCAGTGTGCAGGCTGATGCTGTAACTACTTAGCAACACCAGCCAGGGTAGATTTTATTCCTTTTTAAGTATGAATTGGATTCCCTGTGTATGTATATGACATTTTGTTTACCCATTCACCTGTTGATCGACTTTTGAATTGCTTCTACCTTTTAGTTAGTGTGGATAACACTGCTGTGGGCGTGGGTGTACAAGTGTCTGCTTTAGTCTCCATTGCTGGATCACTTCGTATTGCTGGATCTGTGTTTGATATTTTGAGGCACACCATGCTGTCTTCCACTGTGGCTGTACCATTTTACATTCCCATCAGCAATGCACAGGGTTTCAGTTTCTCACATCCTCCCTAACACATGCTTTTTCCTGTTTTTTGTTTTTATAATAGCCATCCTAGTGGGTGTGAGGTACTAGTATAGTTTTTAAAAATATATATATTTTTATTGATTTCAGAGAGGAAGGAAGAAAAAGATAGAGACAGAAACATCAATGATGAGGGAGAATCATTGAATGGCTGCTTCCTGCACACCTCCTACTGGGGGTAAAGCCGCAATCCAGGCATGTGCTCTTAAAAAAAAAAAAAAGATCTATCTATCTATCTATCTATCTATCTATCTATCTATCTATCTATCTATCCGAAACCGGTTTGGTTCAGTGGATAGAGTGTCAGCCTGTGGACTGAAGGGTCTCAGGTTCGATTCCGGTCAAGGGCATGTACCTTGGTTGCGGGCACTTTCCCGGTAGGAGGTGTGCAGGAGGTAGCTGATCGATGTTTCTCTCTCATTGATGTTTCTAGCTCTCTATCCCTCCCCCTTCCTCTCTGTAAAAAAATCAATAAAATATATTTTAAAAAATGTTGGGAAAATTCAAATTGACCAATAACTTATTTATATGACTTATTAAAATGCAAAAATATGGCAGATACTTAATAAAGGCATTTCATTATACTTGTACATTAAATGGGCTATTATTTTTTAGGCTGAATTTTCTTATTAAATGGCCTATTATTATTATTATTTTTTTAGAGTCTTATAGTTTTATTTATTACATTTATGTTCATGAATTATTTTTTAGGAAAAAATTTTAAAGTCTTTGATAAAATATAATGACCTATACTGAAAATACAAACAAGTATTTTTTTTTAAATATATTTTATTGATTTTTTACAGAGAGGAAGGGAGAGAGATAGAGAGCTAGAAACGTCGATGAGAGAGAAACATCGACCAGCTGCCTCTTGCACACCCCCTACTGGGGATGTGCCCGCAACCAATGTACATGCCCTTGACCGGAATCAAACCTGGGACCTTTCAGTCCGCAGACTGACACTCTACCACTGAGCCAAACCGGTTTCGGCTGAAAATACAAACAAGTATTAAGTTGATACATTTTTGCAAACTGAACATTCTCATGTAGCTAACACTCAAATCAAAGAACATACATCACAAGCACCCTAGAATTCTTTTTTCTCAGGTATAATCAAACCTCTCCCCTACAATATACACACACACTTTTTAAAAATGTTTTGACTTTTAAAAGCATAACTTAGTTTTCCATATTTATCACTCTATACAGATGTAATCAGGCTGTGTATTCTCATTACTGTTAATTTTCTGTGGCTTGATCTTATGTTTATGGGATTTATTCACATTGTTGTATATAGTCATAAATTATTCATTTTCATTGCAGTAAAGTATACAATTTTGTGATTACACTACAAATTAATTTATCTCTTCTACTGTAGATGGACATTTGGATAGTGTCCAGTTTGGGACTATAATGAACAATGACATTCTAGTTCATGTCTTTGGTTGAATGTATTTCTGCTATATATATATATATATAAAGTGGCCTATTATTAACCTTAAAACAAGCAATTAGTTTTACAATTATTACAAATTTGATCTCATCTTGAACTAGCAATTATTTCTGATTATTGTTAATGAAGGATTGAGCTAGAGGACGCCACCTTAAGAAAACCAGTAGGGGCAAGAAACCTGAGAAATACATAGAGTCAGATAATAGCTTTTGGTTCCCTGATTGACTGTCTAAGGATAGGATCTATTTTACTGTAAAATCTAGAGACAACAACCAATTTTAGCATTTAAGAAATGCTAAAAGATAGTGTTTATTACTTGACTTGAACACATAGAAATGTTAAGAAAGCATCACGGGGAAGTTAGCAATTTGTACTGAGAAACAGACAGAATCTAGTTATTTCACCTTTTGCAGAGTGCCTTTCATGCCAGTAGTCTGTTTTTTTCTTGAACTGGTTTCATAATGCTGAGTCAGCTTTTACATAATTAAATGATATTTATCCACCCAAAGATATTATCCTATATAATAAAAGGTGAATATGCAATTTGTCTCTTTGTGAGTTCAACTGACCGGGAGTTTGACTGCTTGCTATGATGTGCGCTGACCACCAAGGGGCGGTGTGGAATGAAAGACGATCCCAGCCAGCAGCCGGCAGCTGGGGGGAAGGAAGGCCCTGATCACCAGCCAGGCCTAGGGACCCTACCTGTGCAAGAATCTCATGCACCGGGCCTCTAATTAGATTATAATTATGCATATATTGTGTGTGTGTGTGTGTGTGTGTGTGTGTGTGTGTGTGTGTGTGTGTATGTGTTTAGTGCCATGATTAAACCTCAGATTTTGAAAAGATAACTGGCAGTGTTGTGGGGAGTGGGGAGGAAGATGAGAAAGGAGATGGAGAAAAAACTGGTAAAGGAATATCGCTTAGCAGTTGAATATAATTTGGTTCAATAGTGAAATATTCTTTGAGGGTCTGCTCTGTGCCACAATCTGGACATATAAGATGAGCTTTTACCACGAGGAGCTCTGGTTTAGCAGGGGAGACGAACACTAAGTGACAGTTGCAATGCAAATGTATAGTCCAATAGTAGACGTACTGAACATGTACACACCGTGGGAGTACACACCGTGGGAGCAGAGGGGAAGGCGTGAGAAACCCCGCTGTGAGTGGCAGTGAGGGGATGAGCCATTCACATTCCCCGGAGGACAAGTGGGGCTCAGTTCCAGTGGTTCCTAATGTAGAGCAGTCTGTCAGAACCAAAGAGTGATTAGAGATCATTTCGAATACTTTGAAACACTTGCTCCAGGCTGAATAATCACCTTTCACAGCTAGAATTTATATGGCACATGACTGATATTTTGACATCTATTCTTCTTCAGTCTGCATCTTTAAAATAAAAACGTTACATTATGAGCACAATGTAGTGATCCCACCTAAAACATTGAACAATTCTTTCTTAACCTAATACACAAGGTTAAATACAGTTAACTCACCCCTTCATATGGTCTGCTGCTGTTTTGTTAACACCTTTTTGGGCTAAACAGGAAACCAACACCAGTTTCCTTTTTCGGTTCATTTTTAGACTAGGTTTAGGTCACATTCTGGAACCCAGGAGGAGATAGAAAAATAATAAAAGTTGAAATTCTCTCCTCAAACGTGGTCTTTAAAATGCATCCCCTCTGATTCACATTCCTGATTCCAGAGAATATTTGAATGTGGCTGGTGGTCTCCCCATCGAGGCTAGACCCTCTCTGTGAGCTGAGACACTGGTTGTTTCCTTTACAGTGAATCAAAACAATATTCTTTCTCCTCCGTTATTAAGTGGCCCAGGAGAAAAAAGTGTAACGACAGCCAGTGTTGAGAAATAAGCACTCCGGTGGTGAAGTCTTTTCGAGATCAATTTGGCAAATGCATCAAAAACATTAAAAAGGTACATATCCGGGACCTAGCAATTCCACTAGGAATTTCACTGACTAAAACAAGCAAATGTTCAAAGATGATTGTAAAGCAGTACTGAATTTTGTAGAGATGTCAATTCTGCTGAAATTGGTCTGTAAATTTGGCGTGGTTTATGATATGAAAAAATTAGAAACCATCTAAATACCTGGCCAGACAAGAAGAACACATGTTGACCTAGTTCGGAGGCTGAGGGTACATGATAAAGTGCATGTCTCTGTGCGGGTCCTTCCCTTGGAGCTTACCCTAATTCAGGGATATACTTAGCATTGGGCCTGCAATTTTCAGAGCTCTCCGCATATCTCATTATCACAGCATCACTTTGATGCTAGGCAGATAGGTATTGTGGTTAGTAAGTGGCCAATGCTTGACCAAAAACTGGTTCTATTTTGCTCTGAAAAGAATGAAGCCTTCTTAAACACACACACACACACACACACACACACACACACACACACACACACACCACGAGCAATTCCAAGACTGGAACAAGAAATATACAAGATGAACTTGGAGCATCTTGTCATAACAGGAAAAAAAAATGCTGTTAAAGATTTCTGGGGTAGAAGGGGTGGGTGGGGAGAGATTAACCAGGGAATTTATATGCATATATGTATAGCCCAGGGACACACACAATAGTGTGGTGAAGATCTGGAAGGGGCCAGTGCGGGGTGGAGAGGGTCAATGGGGTGGTGTGGGGGGGGGGGGGGAGAGAGGCCATCTGTGGTACTTTCAACAATAAAGATAAATTTTAAAAAAAGATAACTGGGGTAATATCAAAAGACACAGGTGCAAATATCAAGTAGGCATTAGTGGATCCCCTAGTGGCCAAATGTGGACAATTTTTTTTTTTTTTTTAAATATATTTTATTGATTTTGTACAGAGAGGAAGGGAGAGAGATAAGAGAGTCAGAAACGTCGATGAGAGAGAGTCATCGATCAGCTGCCTCTTGCACACCCCCTACTCGGGATATGCCCGCAACCAAGGTACATGCCCTTGACCGGAATCGAACCCGGGACCCCTCAGTCCCCAAGCCGACGCTCTCTCCATTGAGCCAAACCGGTCCCGGCCAAATGTGGACAATTTGAGCATCAAATGGAATAATGACTATTTTTACATTTCCATGCTGAAATATGTATCAGCAATCCATAGGATAATTTGTTGTTGAATTTTTATTTACTTATAGGAAATCATGTTAAAACTGCCTGACTGTTCTCAGTTAAAAAAATGTTAACTTCAATAATTTGTTTCATGCCGAAACTGGTTTGGCTCTGTGGTAGAGCGTTAGTCTGCGGACTGAGAGGTCCCAGGTTCGATTCCGGTCAAGGACATGTACATTGGTTGCGGGCACATCCCCGGTAGGGGGTGTGCGAGAGGCAACTGGTCGATGTTTCTCTCTCATCAACATTTCTAGCTCTCTATCTCTCTCCCTTCCTCTCTGTAAAAAATCAATAAAATATATTTAAAAAAATAATAATTTGTTTCATGATTTTTTCTCATAAATTATAGAAATTTAAAATATGTTTTCAGTAGGAGAAATGTCATCTAAAAGTATTTTTTATTTTATTTTGCAGGATGAAGTTCCTGATGGAATTAAATCTGCAAGCTACAAGGTATGTATATATTTATTAATGTGTCTAGCATCTTAACAAAGACTCATTTCCCCTACCAGCTGCTACCCCACTTCTCTGCTCCCCTTCACAGCGAAACCCCTTGAGACTTATGTGTACTCAATGACTTCAGTTCTTTTGTTCAACCCTTTGTTATGCAAAGCATGAAAGAAAAATTAGCTGAAACAGGTTTGGCTCAGTGGGTCCCAGGTTCGATTCCGGTCAAGGGTATATACCTTGGTTGCGGGCACATCCCCATTGGGGAGCGTGCAGGAGGTAGCTGATTGGTATTTCTCTCTCATCAATGTTTTTGAATCTCTATCCCTCCCCCTTCCTCTCTGTAAAAAATTAATAAAATATATTTTAAAAAAAGAAAAATTAAAGTAGAGGGAATAAACCCACAACATGTACCATCACAGAGCTTCAGCAGTGTGCTTAACCTTATTTAATCTGTACATCCCACCTCATTCTCCCAAGTACTTAAAGCCAGTCTCAGGTAAATTCATGTTGTTTACAAATACTTTATATACATCCTTAAGATTAAAATATACTTAAAAACCTATAGCCACAGTCAGGCTTTGGATTTCTTTAGTTGTTTCATAAGTATCTTTTTGATCACCTGGTTGAGGTAGTTTTGTCAGCTTTCTCCACCATAAGTTTATTCTTTCTCACCCTTTCCGTACTGTGTTCTTTGGAAGGAAGTCACCACTATGCCCAGCCCACATTTATGGAGTGCTGCATCTCCTTGAGGATATAAATTGTCTGGAATTCTTCAGCCTGAGAGGCTTGTATCTTTCCCCTCTATTTACTTATTTATTACAGATTCTAAACTGATCTTGCTCATTTCGACCTCATGTTTTCTTATTTATATACAGAGTGAAGTCATAGCCAATGTGTTGGCTCCAATGGCATACTTAAATGATGCTATCATTAGCTACTTTAAATAGAAAATTTTAAAAGTTTTTTTTTGTTGTAGTTAATCTTCACCTGAAAATATTTTTCCCATTGATTTTTAGAGGGAGTGGGAAGGAGAGGGAGAGACAGAGAGAAATATTGATGTGAGAGAGACACATTGATTGGTTGCCTCTAGTACATGTCTTCAGGGAGTCGAGCCTGCAACCAAGATACTTGCCCTTGACTGCCATTGAACCCAGAACCCTTCAGTCCACAGGCTGCAGCTCTAACCACTGAGCCAAACTGGCTAGGGCTAACTGGAAAAATCTTTAAATCCAAAAATTGTTTGATTTTTTTCATTCAATTGAAGGACTCAAAGTAAAACTTCTGGAAGTTCATTTTGTTGAAGGAAAACATTTGTCACTATTGTGACTACTAGTATAAATTAATTTAAAGATTAAAATTGAAAACAAATATTTGTTTTGTGGTGGTAATGCATATGTGAATTTTTATAAAAACAATGTCCTGGTAAAAACAGTGTCCTTAACAAGTCAAGAAATCTGTGGAGCAGAAGTGATTTTGCAATTGGTTAAGATACACATGTAATTCATAATTGTGTCCAAACACATTGTGATAGTTTACCAATTGAGATAGAAGTGGTGCCGAAACTGGTTTGGCTCAGTGGTAGAGTGTTGGTCTGCGGACTGAAAGGTCCCAGGTTCGATTCCGGTCAGGGGCATGTACGTTGGTTGCGGGCACATTCCCGCAGCTGGTTGGTTTCTAGCTCTCTCTCTCCCTTCCTCTCTGTAAAAAAATAAAAAATAAAAATATATTTTAAAAAAAGATAGAAGTGGTAATTGTCAAAATATATAGGTTTTTGCATTTATATGTACACACTAATAAGGACCACAACATTTTTGAGATGAAGCTGATGCTGAAGAAAACACTGTGGCATGGCAGGAGTACTCTGCTGTCCATCATCAATCAGATTTTGTAACTGTTTGGGCCTTTGAAGAACTATTTCGTAAAACAATCTCAGTGTCCTGTAGTGGCACTGAAAAAAAACTTTCTAATCGTCACCCGAGGATATGTTTTATTGATTTTAAGAGAGAGGAAGGGAGAAAGAGAGAGAGAGAGAGAGAGAGAGAAACCAGTGTAAAGGAAACATCGATTGGTTGCCTCCCAAACATAACCCAACCACCTCGGATGGAACCTGCAACCTAGGTACATGCCCCGACTGAGAATTGAACCTGCAACCTTCTGGCGCATGGGCTGATGCTCCAACCAAACACGGCAATATTGAAAACTTTTAAATAAATGAGGCCTCTAAATGGTAATTGCAATTGGCTTAAATTCAGTGTAAACTCAGTATTCAAAGTATCAATGGATAGAAAAAAAACACAATAAATTTTAGCTTTTGAAAGGTTAGCACAATGCAATCGTTATAACAAAATTTATAAACAAAGACCTTGAAATTTATTTCTACAAAATGAAGGAGGAATTGAACACACTAAGTGAAGAAAGTTCAAATGCCATACTAGGATTAATTCTGAAATTTTATAATTGTCTTTACTCATGGGAGGAGTCTCCTCTTGATGAAACTCTTGCTTTTAATTGGATAAATTTATATTGTGACCTGAAATGAAATGAATTTAAGGAGGCTTACAATTTTGTACTATCTGTATTTGGCAAAACATTTAAAATAATACAAGAAATTAACCTTTTTTGACAAGTTTTGTCTTAATTTTTTAATTTTTTTATTTTAATTTAAAAAAATATATATTTTATTGATTTTTTTACAGAGAGGAGGAGAGAGGGATAGGGAGCTAGAAACATCGATGAGAGAGAAACATCGACCAGCTGCCTCTTGCACACCCCCTACCGGGGATGTGCCCGCAACCAAAGTACATGCCTTTGACCTGTATCGAACCTGGGACCTTTCAGTCCGCAGACCGATGCTCTATCCACTGAGCCAAACCGGTTTCGGCTTAATTTTTTTATTGAAGAAATGTAGTTTGGAGGCAAAAGAATAGAACTTGTGAAAGTATTTGGTCTAAAATATTTTCACATTTTTACCAGTAGAGAGGATATTTTCTCAATTAAAAATTATATTAGCTGAAAAGAGTCAATTGAAGGTATTGATAATTTCCATTTGGTAAACTATAAAAATTAATTTTAAGAAAACCATGGGAAATTTCATGAATATTTAATAAGGACAATTAAAAAAAGGTGTGTTTTTTTTTTTTTTTAAGAAAAATGCCAGTGACATCAGTACAAGACAGATGTGACTTAATGAAGCTGATTAAATTATTAAATAGGAATTAAGAATAATTATTTTTAACTTATGTTTTAATTCTCAGGTAATTACAATAATAAAGTTAAAAATTTCTGACCACCATAGTATTATATTATGTTCTCCATCAAAAACAAGAGGCAAAGGCTTCTTTTTTTTTTTTTTTAGCTTCAGGAGGAATGTGAGGGCTTAATTTTTTTTTAAAGTGAAGGTGCCAGGTATAAAAGAACTTCAAATAACTTTGAAATGCTTTTTTAAAAGTGTAAAAATGCAGCAAGTTGTGTTCTATTATTCCCCTTTTCATTTCAGTATTCTGGAGAAGCCGGTAATCTCATTGAAGAATGTGAACAGGCTGAACGACTTGGAGCTGTGGATGAATCTCTGAGGTTTGATTTTTTATTTTTTGCAGCAGCAGTATTTTATGTTAACGCGCGCGCGCGCGCGCGCGTGTGTGTGTGTGTGTGTGTGTGTGTGTGTGTGTGTGTGTGTGTGTGTGTTTTCCTGGGAAGTGTTAACTTGAAAAAAAGAATAACACTGTTATCTCTGTTTGAAGTGAGGAAACACAGAAGGCGGTTCTTCAGTGGACCAAGCATGATGATTCCTCAGACAACTTCTGTGAAGCTGATGGTAAGACCTTTCTTATAGTGTGCCTTTTGTTTAAGATTGTACCCAAGAAAAAAATAATCCTTTAAAGGTGATTTTTACAAATTCATTTTCTAATGTTTTGGCATTTCCTCAAAAAGTAAACCTAGAGTTACCATATGACTTGACAATTCAACTGCTAAGCGTACACCTAAGAAGGCTGAATACAGGAAACATATCTTTACACCTGTGATTATAGCAGCATTATTCACAATAACCAAGCGGTGGGAAGAGTTTCGATGAATGGATCAATGTACAGTATAAAGAAAGTATAGTGTCTACATACAAGGAAATACTGTTTTTCCATAAAAAGAAATGAAGTTCTGATACATGCTACAGTGTGAATTAACATTCAGAACATAATGCTAAGTGAAATAAGTGAGACAGAAAAGGGCAAGTATTATATGATTCCGTTTGTGTGAAATATCTAGATTAAGTAACTTATCACATAGAGACAGAAAGTGGATTAGAGTCTACCAAGGGAAGGGAGGTGGGGAGTTATTGCTTAATGGTTATAATTTGGGGTCATAGAAAAGGTCGGAAACAGTGGTGGTAATTGCACAACATTGTGTATGTAATACCACTGAGCTGTACACTTAAACATGTTTAAAATAGTAAGTTTTATGTTATATATTTTACCACAATAAAAAAGTTTAAAAAGGAAACTCAGTTTTTTAAAAAAAATTCACCTCTTGAATTCCATAGTTCTAGTAATATACATATAATAATAATTATATGTTATATTGTATATAATATAGATTACATCATATAGTATATATTATAATTTTAATAATATATACAGGCATTTTGCATAAATAGCTAAAATTTAGGGCATGCTAAAACCTGTTTCTGTTTCACAGATGTCATATTGCTAAATATTTTCCTTAAGGGTGATGGTCCATGTTACTTTTGGAAAAGAGACTAATGACCCATGAGTTACATCTGCTACATCTACTAGTAAAGCTAAGCCAGAGGGCTTAGAAACGATGGCACAAGACAGAGAGAACTTACATAACTTGTCCTGGATTCTGACCCCGGCACTCTGACTCCAGAAGCCATGCTCTGCTCTGTTGGGCATTTAGTTGCTTCCAGTTTTCCCTTTTATAAATAATGCTGACCCAAATGCCATTCTGGATGGAGCACTTTTCATCTTTATGATTATTCCTTTGGGACATGTGGTGGATCCTGATCATGCTCATGCAAGAAGGAAGTATTTGATAACAAACCGTGTCTGGCACTAACACTTCATTTACCTTAGTTACTGATGAACTACTGTGGTCAATATCCAGACAAAGAATATTTATATATACACACACACTGGAGGTATACGCATATATATTCTTTGTTTGGATAGCATATGAGAATTGAATTACCACGTCCCTTTGATTCTAAAATTTCACCGATTCCTATTTTGTATCATTTCTAAAAGCAGGATGCTTTTACAACTAGTGTGTACATTTAATGTGGCTGTGTTGGTTCTCTTATCTTTCTCCTGGAAAGTTGTTTTTAAGTCCCCGAGGCATTGACACATTTGTGATGCCTTAGAATCAATGGAAAACAGTCTTCCATACTAGCTTTTTAAAGGTAACTGTAATGAAGATAGGCTCAATGGAAACTTTTCTTTTATAGACATACAGTCTCCTGATGCTGAGTATGTAGATTTGCTCCTGAATCCTGAGCGCTACACGGGTTACAAGGGACCAGATGCTTGGAGGATATGGAATGTCATCTATGAAGAAAACTGTTTCAAGTATGTGTCATTTCCATTTGTAAATTTTTAGAAGATGTGGTGATTTCTCTCTGTAAACAAACAAAATAGTAACAATTTAAGTACAAATGAATTTACTTTGTTAAAGGATGTATTGGGACATAAGAACATACTTATTCCATGAAACCAGTTCTCTTCTGGGAAAATATGTAAACATGTTTCAACAAATATCTTTCTTCTTTAAAAGATTTAGAATAGTATTAGACTTTTATGGGAGTGTTGTGGGCACTTAAAAATGTTCCTTGAGCGGTGTCAGAGAGCCTCATTTTACAGATGAGCTAACCTAGAGCCAGAGAGAGATTTACTTCATTTTCTTAAATCATATAGTTAGTGGCAGAGAATAGATCAGAATATGTAACTCCTTATTCTCTTTTTGGTGACTTTTTCTCCTCTTTTTGTAGCTATAGCTATTTTACCCACTTCAAAATTAAATTAATTTTAGAGAATAATTATAATAGCTAACGCTTTTTTTATCTTTTATTTTTAATTTCTTTATTGATTAAGGTATTACACTCTGTGCAGGCATTGCGCTAAGCATGTTACATAGATCTTCTCCTTTAGTCTTTCCAGTAACCCTGTGTTGTAGTCCTTACTGTTTAAAGATAAAGGGAAATTTGGAAAGCTGATTTTAAGTGATTTGTCCAGCGCCAAAGAACCACTTTGTTCTCTAAATCACTACAGTGGAAGCAGTTGATTTGATCGCTGGGTGACTGAGACATACTTCAAGTTTACCCACTTCTAAGCTTCTAAGCTGTAAACAATGTGCTTATTGGTTTTTGGAAGGTAGGGGTGTGTGTGTTATGCTATCTTAGAGATTGGGGGAATTCTGAGAAAATCTTTGGAGTTTCCAGATATGGCAATAATGCATTTCACTTTTTATAAGTCAAATATAAACATAAAAGACCAGCAAGTGTACTTATACCAATAAAATGCCAGACTGTTGCTTTTTTTGACTTGAAGAATTTCTCCAGTTTGGCAAGTGGTGAGTTTTCATTATTTACTCATTTTTACCATATGTTTCATTTCAGTTCTCTTGACTGTTATTCAGAATGTTTATGTTTGGTTTACCGACTTACTTTAAAGGTTTTTTGTGTGTGTGTGTGTGTGTGTGTGTGTGTGTGTGTGTTTAAGTGAACTAAAATAGAGTCCAACTGAAGCACTTTTAGATTCTGTATTAGTTTTATAGTTCTTTTCTAACTAATTTATATCACGACTACCACAATATTTCTAAAATATAAATGATGTATGAGGTGCTAAATTGAGCATGTTAAAATATAACTTACATGTTCTGTTCTCAAAATGTCTCAACTTGTACAGATTTGTAAAATCTAAATAATAAATGTTAATACAATCCCTACACTTCACAAAATGATACTAATGAATATTAATTTTGAGATTTAAAAGCATTTTAGTGACATATTAACTCTCTTTTTTATCCTTATTAATAAAACACACCTTTTATTGAAATCATAAGCAACTTGATGGTCACAGAGAAGACTGAGCTACCTAAGATTTCCTAGGTGGAAGATAATCTACCCACTTAATTTCTTTTAATGCTTGTGTTGGGTATTTACATTTTTTGTTTGTCTTTCAATTGGGAGTGTACTTTGTGGCCTACACACATATACGTGTATGTAATGTATTTAAAAGCATTCTAGTGATTCCAGGAGAAGAGTTTGAATGGTATTTTTCCTTCTTTGTTTGAAGAGGTAATTAAGAAATGACTTTCTGGATGTTATCACGGGAAAAGATCAGAAACTATTATCATTAAAACAAATAACAACTACCTTCCCTTAAAGCAATTAGAGAAAACTAAATATCATTTTATAAGCTCAATAAAACAGTTGTGTTTTGGATATAGTCACTAAGAAACTTTCTGAGATAATTTCACTTTTACTTAAGTAACATTACAGGTGACATATTTATATTTTATAACTTTAATTATTTTGATTCCAGACCACAGACAATTAAAAGACCTTTAAATCCGTTGGCTTCCAGTCAAGGTAAGTTATTTAATTGCACTGTTATATTCATCAGCCAGTGAACTTTGGTTAGCAGGAGGGGGGAGGCCTGAAAAGGGGTGGCAAGAGCACTTGAGGTGATATATTCCTTTTTTCCATAGAAGTTATACCTTATTCTTGCAGAGAAGTTGGTGTTTGACACACACTTCAGGAAGGAGTATTTTTGTAATGAAGTCCTGGTATTGGACTACCATAGGATGAAGATTACGTTACATATTTATCCTATGCATATTCACATAACGTGTGCCCAGTTTTTCTACTATTTCTAACTCATTTTCTAGTTAAATGAATGTCCACAACCTTCTGCCTCAAATCTTTCCCAACACTTGGAATTATTGTATATATTGGGAGTCTGATTTCAAATTCGCAGGGCTTTGTAGCTCATTAACATTTTTCATTTTCTATTTACACTTACAGTCTGGCCCACATGCTTCCTTTTCCACAAAGCGTTCCCTCATCCTCCAAACTGGAAGTGGTCTCTTCTCCTCGCGAAGTGACCTTAGGCCATGCTTTGTTCCTCTTACGGCCCTTCCCACTGTTTAGCATTATTTGACTATTATTTACTGATCTGTTGATCTACACTGTACTTTGGACACATTTATTGGTCTCATCTCTTAATCTAGAGCCTAGCACATCATAGAGTCTGTTAGATAATTAATGGATGAAAATTTTCCTCATTTAATGGTCTTGTCTACAATAGTAAAAATCACTTGCTCCTCCAACAAATGATTATCCACCCTTTACTCTATGCTAGGCACTGTGTAGGCGCAGAAGGGATGTGCAACTGAAATTCACGAACCCTTTTCCGATCTATAATAAGCAGTTATAATATCTATACATATTACTGATGAAATCTTTGATGTGCTTTTAGCAAATGTGTGAGGTTATTGTTTTTAAACTTATTTGAAAAGCTGTTGGTCTCAAGTAGTCCATAAACATATATTTCCTCCTCGAAAGCAATGGGTTGCATCATTCCCTAAATGCCGGCAGATTAGTCTTTCCTATGTTAGAAACGGAAGAATATCTTTAAACAAGGCTTTTGAATTTATGGCGTTACATGTGGTAACTCAGTGGAAGGTATTGATTTAATATCAGATGAAATGCAAATTCCTAGACAAGAGGTGATCTTCAGTATGAACTCACATTATGGTCTGATAAATTAATTAGCCACCTTCACTTATCTTAAAGATACCTACACAAGAACAATTTAAATGTTTATCACCTTGGAAGTAGTTAAATGATTTATGGCATATTCACATAGCCATTATAAATGTTGCTGAAATTTGTATTCATTTGTGTCAATAGTGATCAATAGCACATTGAGAAAAAACAGGTATCAAAACATTACAGAAATAGGTATAGTACAGTTTTGTAAAAATATAATAGCTTATTATCTATACACAAAGAAAAAGGACATTTACCAAGATGTAAATGATATTTATCTTCGGGCAGAGGGAGTTTTGGAGGATATATTTTTTCTTTATTTTGTTTGTGTTCTTTTTTAAAAAAGCACATATTTGCAATGAGCATATGTGACTTAATAATCAAACAGTGATAGCATTGAATGAAAGTGGGCAAATGAAGATAATTTTTCCATAGTAAATGAGCAGCTGCATATAAACTGCTGAATTGTGCATAATTTGAGACTTACAAATGGTCTCTAAAAATATTCCTGAATAGAGTAAAACTTTATAATGTCAGTCTGGAGGTTTCAAATCTGTAGCAGAAACTACATTATAGCTTTAGGATAAATAAATGTGGAGAACTTAAGAGTACTCTCTGGTGACAGTAAGATTTTCCTCTTCTGTTAGCCCATATTAAATCTTGTTTGAGCTGCAACTACTCTTTATTGGGGCTCTTGGAGATGATGCCACTTAGTCAAATCTGGCTTAATTCCTATCACCGATAAGAGTTGCAGCCAGGAGTATCTCATGGATTCTGCTTATGTAGATGAATGGATGGGCTAAAACTAACCATTATTAAAAGTCTTATTTTTATAGAAGTATTTTAAACGAGGCATCTGGAAGGAATTTATAATAATAAACATTTTGTTTTGTTTTCCAGGGAAAGGTGAAGGTAAGCAGACTCTCTTTATCAAACATTCCATAAATGAATTTTCTTTTATATTCAGATGTTTATTTGGCAAACTTTTTTTTTTTTCTTTTCACTATTGAGACTCGGAAGGCGTTAACTTTTATTTCTTTATTTAAAATTCTGGAGGTGAAAGCACAGGTTAAGGGAAAAAGACTGTGTCTGGGACCAGGCAGGAGGGGCTGCAGGCATCCGCCTCTGATAATCCGCTCCTACATTTTCCACTGAGCGTGGAAGCGGACAGGCAAACACACTCTTACTGCCTGAGCTCGAGGATCTGCCAGGACTCACACAGGAAGGTTCCAGACATGACCAGAATGTTGCCTTACTGGCGTCCAAGGTTTATGCTGACTCTTGTATAGGTATCATTGCCGACTCTCTAATTCTAATGCTAATATTTTTGACATATTGTAGGTTTACCTTGTCTTTTTCAGAACCCTTTTGCTTTAAGAGTGAGATCAAAATGATTTTTGTTACTAAGGTCACGTGTTTAACGGGATGAAAAGACTAAGCTGTACTGAGCTTTAGTCCAGCTAGACAAAATTGCTAAATGTGAAGTATCACTTCCCCCTCCCTCAAAAGTTCCTGAACATTATTTTTATGAACTGCTTTTGCATTATGTCTAAATAAGTGATACTAAAATCTTACAACACTGCTATTTTATTATTAAAAGGAACGGTAGTAGCTAAATAAAATACTGAATCAGGCCCAGCCAGTGTTGCTCAATGGGTTGAGCACCAACCCCAAGAACTAGGAGGCCATGGTTCAGTTCCTGGTCAGGGCACATGCCTGGGTTGCAGGCTCAACCCCCAGTAGGGAGCATTGAGGATGCAGCTGATCCATGATTCTGTTTCATCATTGATTTCTCTCTCTCCCTCTCTCCCTCTCTTCTTCTCTCCCTCTCTCCCTCTCTCCCTCTCTTCCTCTCTCCCTCTCTCCCTCTCCCTTCCTCTCTCTAAAATCAATAAAAAGCAAAAATAAAAAATAATATTGATACTGAATCAGAACTGTACTATTTAGAAGAGAAATTTCTTTAGCCTGGTCGCCCTTAACTGTAATAATTCTAAGTATGCATTTGCTAGATATAGCAAACATTATAACAAACCAGGCCCCTCTCCCCACTGGCCTGGTTGCCCCTTACTGCCCCTATGCTGGCCTGGTTGCCCCTAACTGCTCTCCGTTGCTAGCCTGGTCGCCCCCAACTTCCCTGCTTGCTGGCCTGGTCGCTCCACGCAACCTGCTGTTCAGTTGTTACTGTTACTGTGATGGCATCCTGGACAATTTGTATATTCCTCTATTATTAGTGTAGATTCCCACTTTAATAACAGATATATTATAGTTTTGTATTTAATTATTCCCATGCTTACTTGCTTCCTTAACCTATGTCTTAGTCAGCTCAGGCTGCTTTGACAAAAGACAATAATGGGGGGCTTAACCAAAGACATTCATTTTCTCACTGGGAGGTCCTAGGTCAAGGCGCCAGCAGGTTTGGTGTCTGGGCGGCCCTCTTCCTGGCTTGCAGGTAGCCATCCTCCTTGCTGTATTCTCACAGGGCAGAGAGAGAAGGAGCTCGGCCTCTTCCTCTTCTTATAAAGACTAATTCCATTATGGGGACCCCACCCTCATGACCTCAACTAACCCAAGTACCTTCCAAAGGCCCCATCTCCAAATACCATCATGGGGTCTTTGACATAATTTCAGGGGATATGCAAACATTTATCTCTGACCGCCTAGATTTGTAGAAATGGATTTACTGGATCAGAGGATAGGACGAGATTGCATTTTGTCATGGAAAGGATGTGCTAATTTACACCCCTTCCAATCACTGTGCCAGATGATTTTACCCTTCTCTTGTCAGCATTAAATATTATATTTTTACCTTTATGGTTAACAGTGGTATCTCTATAGTTTTAATTTGTATTTTTTATTACTTATGAGACTTATTTGTATTTATTCATTGTGAATTCTCTGCTCATTTTATTTGCCCATCTGTAATGGGTACTTTAGCATTTTTATTTAGTGTATGAGCTTTTTGTATTTTTAGGATATTATCTCTTTGTTGAATTTGACTCATCCATTTTATATACTTTGTTGTTTGTATTTTGTTTTTATTTGTGAAGTTTTCCAATAGACATTTTAAGTTTTCAGATAGTCTGATTTTTTGCTTATTCTTTTTGTCATTTCTTCCATTACTTTTATGCTTGCTTGGTTCATTTTTAATATTACTGTAAGCAACTTTAGTCAAAGAACAATATAGTACAATGTTTGCTATATCTAGCAAATGCATACTTAGAATTAATACAGTTATAATTATTCCTTATGTCTTTTAATATATTATTTTAGATAAAATATTTTCATGTTACACATTCTTGTCATTTTATTTATTTAAAATGTTTATTTTTATTTTTATATAAAATACGTTTTTATTGATTTTTAAATTTTTTTAGAAAGAAGAAGGGAGAGGGAAACATCAATTGGTTGCCTCTGGTACATACCCCGACTGGGAACCATAATTGTCATTTTAATATTTTTATATTATTCTACCATATTAACTAGTTATATAGTATTCTGTCTTGTTAAATTAGGCATCATTGTTCATTTTGATTATTTCAGGTTTTAGTATAATTAGCATAATCATTTTTCTAAAAATTATAACGCCTCCACAATTTGAGTTATTTCTTTTTTAAAAAAATATATTTTTATTTATTTCAGAGAGAAAGGGAGAGGGAGAGAGAGATAGAAACATCAATGATGACAATCATTGATCAGCTGCCTCCTGCACAGCCCACACTGTGGATCAAGGCATGTCCCTGACCAGGAATTGAACCTTGACCTCCTGGTTCATAGGACAATGCTCAATTACTGAGCCACACCTTCTGGGCATTGATTTATTTCTTTAGAACATAATTTTAAAAGAATTACTAGGTCTAAGTATATTAACAGTGATCTTACTAGGTCATAGAATATAAGTGATGTTTAGTTTCTACAATTTTCTTTGATTTGCTCTTTTGAAATGTTGAATGGTTTATAATACCCTGAGCAATATACACTTTCGATTCTACTTTATAATTTTTATTTACTTTTCAAATTAAAAAAACCAACACCTATAATGAGTTCTTAGTTCTCATAACATAAACTGTTATCAAGGCTAAGTATTTTTCCATATATTGACTTAACATTTAAATTCTGCTTTGACTTTCTGTAAATCACCTTATCTAGAAAGTTATTAGACTGAGCTACTTAGTGGTATTTAACTGAACCCATACCAAGATATCTCTCCTTCCTTTGAAGAAATTGCAAATAAAATTTGGACCTTTTGTAAAACAATCTTTAAATCACTGTTTGGCACATATTTGCAGTATTTTTAAACTTTTGAAAAAACTTACCTTTTGGCCTTTTTGTAATCTTGTGACTTTTCTTATGATTTCAGAGAACACCTTTTACAGCTGGCTAGAAGGTAATTGAAAACTTTTCAACAAATTGAAATGATTTTTCTCTCTCATTTTTTTAAAAGACACATGAAGTTAATTTCATAACCGTACAAGTTTGACATATGAAATGTCTATTTCCAAATCCCCTTTTTTAGGTCTCTGTGTAGAAAAAAGAGCCTTCTACAGACTTATATCTGGCCTACATGCAAGCATTAATGTGCACTTAAGCGCACGCTATCTTCTGCAAGGTACGTGATGTTCACTTCCATTCCTTTTACACTTTTTTTTAGGTATTCTTAACATTTTCTTGGTATCTACCTGAATGGAACACTATTAACCTTACTGAGTATTAGGCAGGAAAAGTTCATTCTTAAATGGTAGTAATCAGGAATGCAGGAACCATAGTTCCTGGAAGGAAAAGTTCAACATTAGTATCTTGGCTCTTCACCTTCTTTTAAGAAGCTGCTCAAAACTTTACACATCTCTTTGGAAATGTTCTTCTGTTGGGGGAATTGAAACAGCACAGCTTGTTATTCTTTAGGTATTATTGTATCAGAGCTCATTTATTTGTGAGCCAGCATCAGGCCTAAAGTTTAGTGGATAAAAGCATTTTATGTTGCTCTTTAGTGTTTAAGAATGCTATTGAAAATAAAACCATGGTTGATTTTTATCAGTAACATATTTCTTCTGGAATTAAAGTATTTTTTACATCTTAGAAATAAACTGTAGTAATCTGAAGGCTTCAAACGCATTAGTAATACCAGATAGTCATTTTAAATTGTGCCTTTTGGTTTTATGAATACATTTATATTAAAAAAATTTGATTTTTAGTGAACCTGGTCTCAGTAAAACATTTAATTTATTTTCCTTTTATGCATGGGCTCTAGGAGATAAAATATTAATATAGAACTATTCAAGGCTAAGTTATAAAAACAGTTTTCATGGTTATGTTATCATATATTTTAATATATAAAATTAAATTAATTTCTGTAGGTATGAACAACCTAATGTAATTTTATCTAATTAAGCCTACTTAATTTTAAAATTAAATTTTTAATATTTAATTCTTCTGTCTTCTTAGATACCTGGTTAGAACAGATATGGGGACACAACGTAACAGAATTTCAGCAGCGGTTTGATGGAATTTTGACCGAGGGAGAAGGTCCAAGAAGGCTTAAGAATTTGTATTTTATCTACTTAATAGAATTAAGGGCTTTATCTAAAGTGGTACCATTCTTTGAGCGCCCAGATTTTCAACTCTTCACTGGGAATAAAGTTCAGGATGCAGAGAACAAAATGTTACTTCTGGAAATACTTCATGAAATCAAGTAAATGATATATTTACACTTATTTGTCCATATTTTAAAATAAATTTTTATGATTTTAGATAGAAAGGGAGAGGGAGAGAAAGATAAAAACATCAATGAAGAAAGAATATTGATCGGCTGCCTCTGCACGCCCCCCACTAGGGATCAAGGCTGCCACCTGGGCCTGTGCCCTGATGGGGAATCAAACATGACCTCCTGATTCATAGGTTGATGTTCAACCATTGAGCTATGCCAGCAGGGTCACACATATATTAATAGAAGAGTGACAAGTGGTGCCCAAAATTAAACACTTAAATACTCAATATAGAGAAAGGGAAACTATTTAAAAAAGAACTAACAGCAAATTTTGCTCATAGGTCTTCAGAATTGATTTATGTTTTAACCTGGGTACTAAAAAGCATTAATTTTTAATTCTAAGAGCTATTCTTTTAGTACTTAGATATCTGCATTATTTTCACATTTAGTCGAATAGGTTGGATTTGGGGCCAAACTTCAATTATATTTTGCAATTAGCTTTTAGAGTCAAGGGTAAGAATCTACTTGGGGACATCAGAGTGTTCCTTTTATTTTATTTTCTACTCTATTTTAATTATATGATTCATCACTGACTAGCAAAATATTATTTTAGCAACCTTTTAATATTTTCTAATACATAAAAATGAATATTCTCTGTTTTAAAATGCAGGTCATTTCCTTTGCATTTTGATGAGAATTCATTTTTTGCTGGGGATAAAAAAGAAGCAAACAAGCTAAAGGTAATTATGTTATACTTTACTTTAGTTTTTAGACACAAACTCTTAGGCAGGAATGAATATAAACCCATGTCTTTATCCCTAACAATAAATCTTGATATACATCCTGAAATTATAAGAAAAATCAGAGTCCTAATGTTTCTTTTCCTCAGAAAAAGGAAGCCCAAAGGCAGGTCCAACGTATTATCTAGTTTGTGGCGTGTTAAAAATAACAATGGAGCCGAGACCGGTTTGGCTCAATGGATAGAGCGTCGGCTTGGGGACTGAAGGGACCCAGGTTAGATTCCAGTCAAGGGCATGTACCTTAGCTGCGGGCATATCCCCAGTAGGGGGTGTGCAAGAGGCAGCTGATCGATGACTCTCTCACCAATGTTTCTAGCTCTCTATCTCTCTCCCTTCCTCTCTGTACAAAATCAATAAAATATATTAAAAAAAATAACAATGGAAATCTGTGGGATCCATACTGATGGGCTCATGCAATAAAGAGAGGTTATAAATTAAAAAGGCAGGATCTAGTGGAAGTATGAGTCTGTCTTTGGCTAAAGAGAATTCTGAAAGTGGTTTTGGTTGAATTAAAGGATCCCTTTAGGGGAAGAGAGCACAGTGTTGTTTTGTGAATCATCTTACTCAATGGGAATGAAAGGCATTTAGGAATGCCAGCAGGTAGCTGTGGACAGAACAGAAGAACTGATACCCCACAAAATGGGATTTGTTTTTGCCTTGCCTCTTTTTGTTTATTGATGTGTGTGTGTGTGTGTGTGTGTGTGTGTGTGTGTGTGTATGTATGTATAAATATATATAATTTTTTTTCCATTTCAATTACAGATGACATACAATATTATATTAGTTTAGGTGTACAATTTGCCTTGCTTTCTTAATAGAGTTCTAACCTCAGGCAAGACCATCTTTGTTCTGTTGCATAAAAATATGACAAGTATAAAATAATACTAGAAAGATTTATTAAATGCTTACTACTATGTGGAAGGCATGATTTTTGTCATTCAAGGGAAAGAGCGTCTATTCTCAAGGGATTTCTAGCCTATTTGGGGACCCAAGTAAAATTAATTACTGTTCTTTGTCACAAAGGTATCTGTAAGTAGAGGTGGGTGGCCTTCAGGAACATTGAGCTCCTGGTTTCATCAGAATATTTTTAACAGCCTTCCTCTGCTTGCTTTTTAAAAAATATATTTTATTGATTTTTTACAGAGAGGAAGAGAGAGGAATAGAGAGTTAGAAACATCGATGAGAGAGAATCATCCATCAGCTGCCTCTTGCACACCCACTACTGGGCATGTGCCCGCAACCAAGGTACATGCCCTTGACCAGAATCGAACCTGGGACCTTTCAGTCTGCAGATCGACGCTCTACCACTGAGCCAAACCGGTTTCGGCCTTCTTCTGCTTTTTATTATTTGTTTCTTACTGTAGGGAAAAAAAAACCTGACTCTATGCCATTTACAAGCAAAATACTTTTTGCAGTCAGTTTTGTGCTGTTAGGTAACAGTTATTTTTGACCTCCCATCTACCTCCTACTTAAAGCATTCTTGCTAGAAATACATACCTCACTGCTTATATAACCTCCCAAACAGCTTCCAGGAACTTAGAAATGAGGGGGAAGATGCTGTAATAAGATTTCCTCCCATACTAGTTTCAGTATCTTCCTTATTTTTAGGATACTTGCTGGTTTATTTTAGAGTTTTTCAGCATTCACTCTTTTTTATGTTGCGCAGATTAGAAATATTTCTCACAATGTTTTAATTTTATTAGAATGAAAACCCTCAAGTTCGGTGTCCTGTGGCATTTAGCAGATCATTTCCCTAAATCCTTTTACAAGAAAGGAGTAAAGAAAACTTGTTAGTATTGGAGATTTACTTCCTTAAAATAGTAGTTTATGGTGAATATCATGGATTTAAACAGTCACCCAAGTTCATTTAAAAATCTTATCTTTTCTCCTCTATGCTCTATCGGTGTTTGACTAGAAATAGAAGACTTGTGTGAGAGAGGATTGTCTAGTGTTCATTTCAAACTAGAATGTGATTTTACTTGAAGGCTCAACAATGCTTGAGAATTGGATGAGAATTATTTTTTTGTCAATTGGTTTCATAAGTCACAGTATATAACCACAGCATGTTTGATTATTCTACGCTCTGGCTATACTTTTAATTGTTGATCTCAAAGTTGTATACAAACAAGGGGAATTTGTAAGTGACTTAGGTTCTAGTTATTTTCTGGATCATAAGTTTTTATCATCTGAGGTAACTTTGGAGTATACATATAAGTATTTCTCTCTTTTCTGCATCCAGCGTTGCTAGAGAGTGGGGGCAGCTGGGGATTGAGAAAATGAAAGAAAGAGACAGACACAGAGACAGAAGGAAAGAGCTGGGGCAGGGTGGGACAGCTATCATCTGATGGAGAGACAGTGATCCAGAGCCGATACAGTGCATTTATTTTATACAGCAAAATACCAGGAAGTTTTACGATAGCCCAAGACAAAAGAGACTATGTGCATTCTGTGGCTTCTTTGTAATTGTCACTTCTGGGTGGGCCTGGATAATTGTGTTTGTTCCTGGTGCTTGACTGGACTTAGATAATGAAACCCACCCCCTGGCACCTGAGCTGAAGGTCAGGCTGACAACACACCTGCCTCTGGCGAGGTATGTTTCCAGGGGTTGGCTCTGCTGGATACAGTGGATTCAGATGGCAATCAGCTCAGGGGGCTTTCCCAGGCACCCTCACAATACACACGATATTGGACATTAATTGCTATTTTTGGAAATCACGAGGATTTTCTTCTGTTCTGAGTTAGTTAATTTCTGGCTTATTAATTTGCTTCTAGTATATTAAGTTCACTGAAGCTCTCGTGCTTGGTTTTAATTTTGCAGTGTTAGAAGCTTACCATCTCTGCATGTTCCATACAGAGATTTACTTGAGAGCTGCCTTACATTCAAGTATTTGAATTAACATGGATTCAAATACTGAATTTACACAATGTCTACAAAAACAAGCACAATCTTTTATAACAAAGGTTTTCATCCTTTGCAAGTATGAAAGTCAAAAAACTTTCAAGGCCTTTCCTAACTTTAAATTAGTAACATTTAAAAGTAAAAGTTGTGTTCTATTGATCATAACATTTTTATCCATTTGAAAATTTATAATGCATAACAGGGAGCTGTTTCTATACAGTGCTTATCTACAAATGGATTTTGTAGGGCCTTGTAACAACTGTTAAGTCTCCCAGAGTCAACACCTCGTAGGATGGATTTTACATCTATTTTGAGTAATTTTATTGCTCCCTTATTGGTGTTAAAAGTTTGATTTTCCTGTAATTCAAAGTTGAAACGTAAGTGTAAAGAAAACCTCATATCAAATCACCAAAACCTCAAGAGTAATATGAGTAATATTACTAGGTAAATATTTTTAAAAAGTAGATTTTAAATTAGAATTACCTCTTACTGAGCTCAGACCAAAAGATACAGAAACACGAGATATAAAGTATTGCTAACATATGGTAAACATTAATAGTGATAATGTGCAACCAAAGGACTTGTGTGCATGCATATAAGCCTAACCAATGGCCATGGACAACACGGGGGTGGGGGCATATGTAGGGAGGGGTTTGGGATGGGAATGAGAGGATGAGGACAATTATGTGATACCATAATCAATAAAAAAAATAAAACTAAAAAAAATAGTGATAATATGGGCTTTGTATGAATATAAAATTTGTATTTAAAAAGATACAAGCTCTGAGATCCTATTAAAGAGCTTTTACATGTTACAGCTGTTTCAGAGTCTCAAGCTGAATGAAACATCTGGGGAAAGACTGAATTGAGTAAATTAGAGTGAATTGAGGTCTGCTTTGAATAGTGGGTTCCAGTCTTTACTGATTTATTCCTATTTTTAGATCTTTGGTCCTGTTCTCTTCTTCTTGGGCCCAGTGTGTGATTATCACATTAAAAAAAAAAAAAGAGAGGAACACTATATGCTCTCCAAATTATGGGTCAGTTGGTATACTGAATGTTTCATCTAAAATGTACATCAGGTTTCCTGCTTGCAGTACTGTAAGCTGATTCTAGTATCAAGGATAGAGGGAGTCACGATCAGGATCAATTGATAATTCTTTCCTTTGGAGTAAATGAAGATGTGTCCTTGGCTTCCCTTCTCTTCTCCTTATTAGTTAACGGCATATATTGCTTTTGGACGAGCCAGATGTCTATTGCCCTATTATAAACAATACTAGCTAGAAGCCTGATGCACGGAGATTCATGCAAGAATGGGCCTTCCTTTCCCTGGCTTCTGGCACTGCCTTTCTGCTCTGGCCCCCAGAGCCATCTCTCTCCACTCCAGCCCTGCCTTCCTACACTGCCCAGAGGCCCTGAGTGGCTGGGGCAGTGTGGAATGCCTGCAGTGTCACCATGGCAACAATGCAAGTGTCCCACCCCCAACTGCTCAGGGCCTCCATATGCAAATTAACCCACTATCTTTGTTGGGTTAATTTGCATACTCCTGATTAGCTGGTGGGCATAGTGAAGGAATGGTCAATTTGCATCTTTCTCTTTTATTAGTGTAGATAGTATACTGAGGTTCAAAGACATATACACATTTATTAAAAGTATAAAAACAAAAAGTTCAGCCTGGCTGGTATAGCTCAGTCGTTGAGCATTGACCTGTGAAGCAGGAGGTCATAGTTCGATTCCTGGTCAGGGCACATGCCAGGGTAGCGGGCTTGATCCCTGGGGTGGGGTGTGCAGGAGGCAGCCGATCAGTGATTCTCTCTCATCATTGATCTTTTTATCTCTCTTTTCCTCTGAAATCAATAACTAATATATTTTTTCAATTAGAATGTTCAATTTTACTTGTCATGGTTTCTTTATAAAACTTTGTGAAGGGTACACGGATGTTCACTATATTCTGTATATTTCTGAATAATAATAATATTTGATTTTTTCACATACTGTGATTTTTTTTAACTATTGTGAAGTCAAAGGTTTTTATTTTTTCTCTTCCTCTTTTTGGTAAATGATGCCATCCAACCCCTTTTTCCCCCTTTGACATAGTTAATAATCACATACAACAGAATACCTCACAGGCATTCAGAAAATGTTTTTTGACTATATACTGCAGCTTAATACAATTTTGTTAATTGTTCTTAGGAGGACTTCCGACTGCATTTTAGAAATATTTCAAGAATCATGGATTGTGTTGGTTGTTTTAAATGTAGACTGTGGGGAAAGCTTCAGGTAAGCAAATCTATCTCAATCCTATTTTTCACTTATTCTTTGCACAAAGAATTTTCTGACATTTCCTTTTTTTCTTATTTCTGTTATAGACTCAGGGTTTGGGTACTGCTCTGAAGATCTTGTTTTCTGAGAAGCTGATAGCAAATATGCCAGAAAGTGGGCCCAGTTATGAATTCCAACTGACCAGACAAGAAATAGTGTCATTATTTAATGCATTTGGAAGGTTAGTATAAATGTATTGAAATTGTTTCTGCTAGTCAAATAAGTCTAATGAAACATGTATGTTCTCAGATGACAACATGTATGTGTAAAGAATATCCTTTTAAGTGAAAGTATCTCATTATGGAATTCTAGGATCTTATGATATCTTAAGTATGTAGACACAAACAATCATTACATGATAGTCTTTATTTTTATCTGTTGACTTTTATAGTCGTGATTAGTTTACTGATAGGACCTCAAAATTCATCTTACTGAATCTGTATATATTTTTAATTATTATTATTATTGTTGTTTTGTTAACCCTCACTCAAGGGTTTTTTATTTTTTTATTTTTTTAGAGAGTGGAAGGGAGGGGAGGGGGAAAGAGAGAGAGAGAAAACATCAATCTGAGAGAGAAAGATTGACTAGTTGCTGCATTTGCTCATTTGGACTGGGGATGGGGATTGAACCTGCAATCCTTGACTGGGAATTGAACCCTCCATCCTCTGGTCCATGGCATTAACCACTGAACCACACGGTATACCACTCCAATTATTATTATTATTTTTTTAAAAATATATTTTATTGATTTTTCACAGAAAGGAAGAGAGAGGGATAGAGAGTTAGAAACATCGATGAGAGAGAGTCATCGACCAGCTGCCTCTTGCACACCTCCCACTGGGGATGTGCCCGCAACCAAGGTACATGCCCTTGACTGGAATCAAACCTGGGACCTTTCAGTCCGCAAGCTGACGCTCTATCCACTGAGCCAAACCGGTGCCGGCCCACTCCAATTATTTAAAAGTAGTTTTTTGTGCTGCCCAAATGTTCATATCTATCTATCTGTCTATCTATCTATCTATCTATCTATCTATCTATCTATCTATCTATCTATTGATTTCAGAGAGGAAGAGAGAGATAGAAATATCAATGATGAGAGAGAATCATTGATCGGCTACCTCCTTCATGTCCCCTACTGGGGATCGAGCCTGCAACCCACACGTCCCCTTGACTGGAATCAAACCTGGGACCCTTCAGTCCATAGGCGATGCTCTATTCACTGAGTTAAACCACCTAGGACCCAAATATTTTTTGAAGGTCCTAGAAAAACTCATGTTTTGTATAGGTATAGATGTAAAATTTCTTTGTAAATTCACCACTATGTAAACAAGTTAATAATTCTTTAAAAAGAATTTAATTTTATAAAAATGATTGGAAGATAAACTTGAAATAAGGCACTTACATTATAAAATTTAGGTATATCTGTACTTCTTTCTGGCCTCTCATATGAAAGGATACAGAGATTTATAAAAACTAATATTTTCTAAGGACTAACAATTATGATTTAATATTTTGGGTTTGAAATAATTGACCTCCAAAATTATTCTTTTTTGTTGTTTTTTAATCCTCACTCGAAGGAGTTTTTCTATTGATTTTTAGGGAGAGTGGGGGAGAGAGGCTATAACATCAATGTGAGAGAAACGCATTGGCTTGGGCTGAAATTATTTTTTAGTACACAGAAACTTGACAGTTATATTTCATTGGGTATTCTGCTACTTTTTTCATAGTGGAGAGCAGAGGTAAACTATACTTGAAGTAATGAACAAACTTGACATTTTATAAAAATTAGTGAGAACAATTTGATCATATGTTTACTATTCTCAACTTAAAATCCAAAAGCTTTGGTTCTTTAGTATATTTACTAAATATGATATATTGATTAGTTTTCATTACTTGTGTATTTATGCATATTTAAAATGCATATTTTAATGATCTACTTATCTGTATGTACTTTAAATACTAAGCATATGAATATACTTATGATTACTTAAAATAACAAGTATTTTAATATTTTTGTACTTTGTAATTCTATAATTTAATACTAAGTTATGAATACTTAAAAATAAATTTCTGGGCAGCACTATCTTAGTTTTACATCAAGGTAAGAACTAAAGTACATCAAAATAGATTAAATTATTTATGTACCTTTAAATTCATTGAAATAAATTGCATTTTTTCCTGTGCTTGGTAAGTACAAAGTGAATAATTTTCAGAGAAAAGTTATCTAAGATAGTTTTTGAGTGGAAAAAAAATTTTTCTTTGTTTGTTACAGAATTTCTACAAGTGTGAAAGAATTAGAAAACTTTAGGAACTTGTTGCAAAATGTTCATTAAAGAAAATGAGTTGAAATGTGCCTGTCCTGGACAATGGAGGTCAAAGAGAGGAATGTCATTCAAAGGAATAAAAACGACAGTCTTAAGGCAAATGTTTTATAAAGCTGCTTTTGTAAAAGGAGAATTATATTATTTTAAGTAAACATTTTTTAAAATTGTGTTAGATCTGTGTATAATATTGTGAATAAAAGTAATACTTTGGGGTATTATGGTACAGATTTTAAAGTTTAATGTTGAATAAAATCAGAATTATTAAATTCATATATGTTAAAACTAAGTACCTGATCTTTTAAATCTCTCAAACTAGAATTTTGTGTAAGATGTAATATAAATAAAACTATGGCCAATATGACAAGTGTTTAATAGAAAAATGCTAAGGAGGCTCATGAATAACCCATAATTAACAGCCAAAAATTTTTTAATACATTTAGACTTAACTGATTTAGTAAGTGAAAATACAGAATGCCCAGTTATGTTTGAATTTCAGATAAACAAAAAATTTAAAAATATAACTATGTTACATGCAATATTTGGGACATACTTAAAACAAAAAATTATTCCTTATTTAAAATTCAAATTTAACTGGTTACCTTTTTTTTTATCTGGCAACTCCAAAATATATTGATATGAAAAAAGTCACTTTTAGAGTTATGTTACTATTTTGATTGGCTTGTTTTTGTTTGTAGAAAGATAACAATCACAACTAAAAGGTATAGGGAATTTCTATACATTGTGAAAAGTTGAAAAGATTTATATATGTATTCTCATAATACTTTAATACTGAATAAATTTAGGAGAAATCTTTTATTTTTATATATTTTCAAATTTACAGGAAAGTTTCTTGGATAGTACAAAGAACTTTCATCCAAATTCGTTGACTGTCAATATTTGCTTTATCTTTCTTGCTCTTTATTTATACACATACTACTTTTAACTCAATCATTTGAAAGTCAATGACAGACCCTTTGAACATTATATACCATAGTTTGTAATACTGAGTAATTTATTAAAAACTAGAGGACCAGTGCCTGAAATTCGTGCACAGGGTTGGGATTGGGGTCTCTCATCCCAGCCTGCACCCTCTTGCAGTCTGAGACCCCTCAGTGGACATTTCTCTTGCAATCCGGGATCCCTCTAGCAGTCCTGGACCCCTTGCTCGTTACCGCCTGCATGCTTGCTGCTCCTTAGCATAGCACAGGAGAGAGAGGCTCCTGCCACTGCAGCTGTGCTTGCCAGCATGAGCCCAGCTTCTAGCTGAGCGGTGCTCCTCCTGTGGGAGTGCACTGACCACCAGGGGACAGGTCCTGCATTGAGCGTCTGCCCCCTGGTGGTCAGTGCGTGTCATAGCAACTGGTTGTTTAGCCATTTGGGCAATTTGCATATTAGCCTTTTATTATATAGGATGATTTTTTTTTTTTTTTTTAGGAAAAATAATCTGGAACTATAATGTGATAAGCTTTAGAATAAGGAATCATTTTGAGTTTGTTTTATCGCCCTTTTAATGTTTGATCTGTAAATTCATAGAAATTTCTTAATTTATTTTTTGGTATTCATTTCCTTTTTCTCCTTAAAAACTAAACTGTAATTTTTGGAGGTTTTATTAGTGAAAGCTCTTCAATGATAAAAATTTTTGAAGGGGTTTGGGAATTTATGTCACATGGTAATTATAGAGAAAAAAGAAACGGTATACCTCAAAATTATGTGCCTCTTTATATATCACATTAATGAAGTAGGGTTTATTTATATAATGGTTTAGAAATGTCATTTTACACTGCTGTATTTTTTTTCTTCTCTGTGTCCCTAAGACCTGGTGTAGTGTCAAACACATAGTGGGTATCCAATAAATATTTGTTGAATGAATGTATGAATATGTATTCAGTATATTTTAAGTGAATAATTTCAGAGCTAAGTTTAACAATATGTTGTATTTTCTTTCCCCCCCTTCATTTGAATAGGGTAGGAAAAGAAAGACATTAACTTATTAGTTAAATCAGTATTTTTGGAGACTCAAAGAACTATGAAATAATCACCATATATAAAAGTTGAAGGACATTTATAGTCCTCTGAAAATGTGGTAGATGGATTTAAATGGTAATTTGTCTGTATATGTCTCTCATGCCCCTGCCCTTTTTTTAACAGCAAAATTTTTTTTGGAAAGAATATTCCTGTCTTCACTGTCACCTTCCACTTGCTCATTAACTAAAATCGGGCTTTTGGCTCTGTACTTCTTAACAATCTCTTCCTTTGAAGCCTAAACACCCAGTTCTAAATCCAAGTCAAAAGGCATTTCTTAATTTGACTTCTTTTTTTTCTTCTGCATTTGATACTGTTGACAGCCCCTTCTTTAAAAATCCCTTTTTAAACCTCTGATTTCCTTGTATTTCACTTAATCCTGGATGCCTTCCTTTTAGCCAGCTTTAATTTATACTACTCCTCAGGCTCTCATTCTTGCTTTCTTAATCACCACCACTTCTCACTTCTGGGTAATTCCAATTCACTGATTTCTAAATCCTTATCTTTAGCCCAGACTTCTCCGTCTATGACCTACCTTTACTTAGTTGTCTTACATGATCTTTACTTGTGTGTCTTAAAGCAGTCATTCTCCCCCAAGCCTACTCTTAGACTTATGTTCCTTGCTCTGCTTAAATTCAGAACCATTATCATCTACATATTTTAGGCTCACTCCTTTCCTCCATCTTACCCCTATCCAGTCAGTGTCTAAGTGCTATGGATTTTATCTCCCTATCTCTGATACATCAATGTCTTTCCATTTTAATTGACTGCTCTTACCTAAAGTACTACACTCACCTGTCTTATACCCAGCCTGTCTTTTTCTGTTTTGCTCCACGATGCTACTAGAGTGGGTTTCTAGAAGCACTCTAACAATGGTCTCTGATGTTTTTCTTCCAGGCCCACCTCCCCCACCACCCTCATTCTGAGGAAATGGACTTACAGTTCAAATGTACCATGGTCAGTTGCCTACACCGTGGTGCAGGCTGTTCTCTTTGCATCAAGTGCCCTAGCTATCCATCCCCACGTAGACAATTTCTCTGTGTCCTTGCAGGCTCCCATTTATGTCCCCGTTTCTTCCAAGGAGGCCTCTAACAAACTTCCTTCACTGTGTTACCACTGTTAATTACAACCTACCTCTATTGTGCCACTTATTGTACTGTATTGTTTTTGTTTTTTAAAGCCTCCTCTACTAGAATGTGAGCTCCTTAAGGGCAGGAAAAAGAACTTGATCCGTTTTTGCATCTCTATAGCATAGTTTTTGACATATGAATACTTAATAAATGAATGTTTGTTGAAAATATCTGCTTTTAAAACGATAACTTTATTCTATTAGAGGTCAGATTTTCATTCCAAATGTTCTTCACAGCAAGAGTCAGTGATTCCCAAAGATTTGTGAACTCTAGGGGAGTCAATAAAGCTCCTGAAATTGTATTAAAAATTTGGAGTGGTTTTGGCAAACTATTATGGAAAAAATAGTAAGATCTCTTCTTTCAGGAGAAAAGGTAACATCATTGAGGAATATTTTGAATAATCCAAGAGTAACTGCCCGAGATTATGGGCTAGGTAAATTTATCCCTATTTAAGATTCTAAGGGAAAGGAGAGAGGGGTTATACATTATTTCATACAAGAATTTTTCTTACCTTAATTCTTGAATACACATGTTGTCTATATTGTTTAAAGTAAAATGTATGGCAGTTCTTATCAAAATTACTGTATAATACTAAAGGACATGATGGTCAGGAAAAAGTAAGTATAAGCTCACTAGCAGAGGCTCATTTCTAATTCCTATTTTCTCTCCCTCTGGTAGCACTAGGGTTCTTATCCTTATGTAACAGAAACTCATTTGGAATAGTTCATGAAGAGAAATTAAGAAAACCAGACCTCCAAATAAAAGCACAAACACTTTTATTTTTAACAGGAGTGTTTTGTTACAATTCAGTGAAACAACAAATAAATACATTCATTGACCACAGCTATACTTTTACAACCAGTATAAAACTGATCATATAGCTGAGAAACACTGTTAAACAATAGAAAAGCAGCTATGCATAAAAAAAAGCTACTATCTATAAATTACGTCTTTAATAAAAACTACAACCAGCTATAATGAGTAGTAAGAGTTCCAAAATTAATGGCCACCCAAATGAAACTATAAAAAACAAGTACTGCTAATCACTGTAGAATTACACACTTAAGCAATGAAACGCATTGTTCCAACTAATGAACCAAGAGGAAGGTTTGAAATTGTCATCATGTGTTTCAGTGCAGGATGAACAAGGAATCGGTAGCCCTTTGATTTTATAAACAACTCCTTTCAAGACCAGACTTAAAGTGCTCCTAGTGCTTTGGAATTCTCAAGCAAAAATTGGGCCAGAAGCTTATATTTCTTTGTCTTTGGTGATGTATTGTGGGAGATGTGTATAAAGAGACAAAGGCAAGAATTTAGGTACCCTAGTCAGTCATAAGAATATATTTATAAATCTCAAATTTGGAGGAATCAACTTAAGCAATTAAAAGAACCAAGTTATTTTTTATCTAAAATACTTTTAAAAAAGTAATCTTTGCTTATCTGGTCAAATAGAAACATTATCTAGGGAAGCCTTGCTAGAAAAAAATTTCCCGTGCTTGAATCCCAAGGGTTAACACAAATCTTGTCATACAGCTTTAGATAATCAGATACCTAACATTATTAGGAAAATTAATAGTTGGCATTCTGAAAAAAAGTCTAGTAACTGAAGTTGTAATCACAATATACTGAGCTGTATACTATATTGTCGTGTAAATACCAAGGTTAACTTCTGTAATATTCATTTAAAAATAATTTGGTTACAATAAGAGAACTTATGAACCTAAAGTAGCATAACTATAGGTTTATGCTTCTGATTGAATTCAAAGTCATTTTGTATGATAAAAAGAAGAAATTTCTTTGGCTGTGTACCAGCCTCCCAAAAGATTGAAAACATTAAAAATTTCATTTATCCCTTGGGGGTTTCACATATTGTTATAACTTGTGAAGTTACTGCATCCATTATTAAAAAGTTGAAAGGAATTTTAAGCGAGAGTAGAAATAAAACATAGCTTTCAAATCAAATTAGGAGACAGAAAAGGACAGTTATGTTAGTTCCAGTTCTGAAGAAACAGATCAGCAGACAATTGTATAAAGTTAGGTGTCTTAAAGTATGCTGTGACAGCTTCCCAATGTTGCCTGTTCGCTTGGCATCTTGAGGTATGCAGCAATCCTTCTCTTAATATAAACACTGGTAGAAAGTGCATTTTAAAATTCTCTATTACGTTAGCCTACCATATATATATTTTTTTAGATTTGGGATAGGACATTCAAGACAGTTTTAATATAATTCAAAAAGTATTCCAATGTTGTTAACCACTGTTTTTATACTTACCTAGTTACAGGTAGTACCTTCTTATCAGTTTGCCTATTTATATAGTGTTGGAATTAAATTTAATTTGGCTTTGCCCATATAGGATATAAAAATGTGAGAACTAAAGGAGGACTTATGTCTTACAAAGTATTGCACTTGAGTTCACTGCAATGATGTATCATGATTTAATTTACCTGAGGACAATCCTGCTTTTCCGGTAAAACCAGCTAAAATCTTGTTTCAGCTAAATCAAATGCTTTTGCAAACAAGTATTCATGTTTTAACTTAGAATTGTATATTTCATGAATAACTAACTCGTAAATGCATCTGTAAACTTGTTTAGTCCCAAGAATTTCTACCAAAATATCCCTATGCAAAAATCACTATTGCTTTCTTGACAAATCATGCTTAACCTACTACATGTATATTAATCATACAAAATAATCACCTGACCACTTCTACTCAAGTAGCCACATAATTTTCACTGGTGTACTCTCTTCTTTAAGAAATAACTGTGGCTTTCCAAAGAAAACTGCTGGTCATCACTGTAAAGGTTTACAACTATCATTTAAAAGAAATGATTGTTTGAATAACTGAAGTTGGTATTTAATGATCATGCTTAAAAGATCTTCAACGATTACGTATTGTTAGTATATTAAAAAAAGAATAATACATTTTTATGCTTTAGTTCTGTGCACTTTTCACACTGTAAAATTTTTATTGGGTAAAAATTCCATATGGAGTATGCCATGTAATATACAGACTTTTATTTTAATAGGAAAATTTCCCTTTTAATTTGGTGTACAATATAATATCCCAGGGTGAGCATTGGAGTATGACTTTGGGGACTGCAGTGTACTCTTCAGAACAAAGATAAAAGTGCAAATATGCAAATATGCTTTTGATGTTCCAAAGTCAAGTTGTTTGGAGACCATCAAGTGCCTTAAGAGCTAATCTCTTTTCTCCCACTCCAAATGTTCCAGTTAATGTCACTGTACCGTGAAGAGGTCAAAGGAACAGCTGTGTCCTCTGCCGAGCACAGCCACATTTCCAGGCGCTGTTTTCAGTTGCGAAAGATAATGGAATGTTTATGTAGATGGCATTTACACGCATTGAATACACAGGTTCGTGAAAAACAACTGAAGAATCACAGCTTGGTAATGCTGTCAGTTTTGTGGTGTTACATATAAGCTATGGTGAGTGTTCAAATCGAAATTACTACAAGTAAAGAGCAAAGGAGCAGTATCCGTCAAAGGTCCATTCAGGTGGGGAGAGACGGTGTAACTGTTGCTGCCACACGCTGCCATGGTGCCATACCAGCCCAACCCTTGTGAATTTGGTAAACTGCAACAACAAAAAAAGCCACAGGACTGTGATCAGTATATAAGTCACACTGACATTTTTAGTTTTCAATGAATTTTATAACATAATTGAAATTACATAATGACTTCCTATAAAATTTAATGATTTTTAAACTAATAGCCTTAATTGTATATCATATATTACAAAATAATGAGTAAATGCCACTCAGAACTAGAACTTGATTATCAGATAATAATAATAGTACATATTATGTACTAGGTTCTATTCTAAGACATTTGGTATACACACACACACACACACACACACACACACACACACACACACTCATTTAATCTCCACAACAGTCCTAGAGGTTCTATTATTCCTATTTTACAGATGAAAAACAGGCTAAAAAAATGGGTTAAGTAACTTGTCCAAATGAAGTGAGGATCATAAAAAATGCTCTAGCAAGCTAAAAGCATTATGTCAGTGTGCATGGAGGCTCTCATTTTGCCCAGATACACAGGTGAATGGTTTGGATTTGCAATGATTTTGAAATTAAAGAGGTCACAAATAATTTCCCTACCATCTAAGGTTCCCAAGAATTTTATCTGGAGTTTCTCTGTGGATTCTGAATAGCACTATATAGATAATGAAACATATATAAAATCACTATAACAGTATTTCTTTCCTGCTGACCAATGCCCATCAGCTTTGAACCAACAAAGGATTCTGAAATGAATTGGTACTATTTTATCCCAAAGGCTTAGAGGTCAATGATAGTTCTTTATAGTACAGGTCCCACCATGGATTTAATATCTGCTGCTCTAAGCTTCAATATCAAATTATTTTATGTATTGATTTATAACACCAAATTACCTATTTCACATTTGGGTTAAAGTTTAGATTTTCTTTTTTTCAATCTATTTTAATACTAATTCAGTACATCTACCTTCCTTCTCTTGAACTTCCCAGTCTTGGCAGGTCATCATCACTATCATATCGCCTTGGATTGTCAAAAAAATAAGCTCTGGGGCTATAACCGTGACTATTTATCATGCCAGCAGGTGCCTGTGAAAAAAAGTGTTAGATAACATATGAAGATTTACTTTTCAACTAAGAGAGGAAGCTGGAATCTATAATGCTTTTTAGTCTTAAAATTTGCCAAACATAAGACAATCAATATAAATGATCCATTATTTTTAAAAGTAAGGCAAACAGGCATTAGGGAATGTTATGGTATCTTACCAAATTCTGGTTTAATCTCTGTGCCCGGAAAAATAGTACCACCGACCAGGCTGGCACATGTTCCCACAGAAAGAGGACCATTCCAAATACTATATACTCTTCTCCATTTACATCTTGCATATGAGCCTGTTAATAGAGTATGGCAAAGCAATACTGAAATCTGTTTTATGTATAATCGGTCACTCTCCACAATTAACTTGCTTCAGGTAGAGTAAGTTAAAATATATCAATTACAAGCACATGAAACTCTAAATTAGTTTTCCATAGTTTGTGGTTTCTTACGTAATCATATTTATCTTTTAAAGAATATAAAAAGGCATTAATGCTACATAGAAGAAAAAGCTACCAACTTTTTCAATGCATCAATTTATGAAAATATTTTTAACACATGGATAATATGGAGTGATCTCACTTTCGGTCCCCATAGATGGAAGAGAGTTACAAAATAGACTACTGGTTCCAGCTGCTCCCTAGGCAAATAGCACTTACCTGGAGGTACACCTTAGAGAATGCAGCATGGACATGGCTCAGCAATTCTGTTACTTAAAAATATGCTTTTGGACCTAACCTCCATGTTGATTTGTTTCTACTCTACTAGATGTAGGGAGAGATAAGGGGGAAGAGGAGTGAAGGGAATCTGTGACATGTGTAAGTTCCTTCTCTGTAGAAAGGTAACTGATATTCTGCCCTGGCTCCGTTGGTTGGAGCACTGTCCCCAAACACCAAGGGTTTGGTCCCTGATCAAGGCACATGCAAGAAGCAACCAATGAATGCATAAATAAGTGTAACAACAAATCAATGTTTCTCTCTTTTTCTCTCCCTCTATAAAATCAATGAATTTAAATTTTTAAAAAAGTGGTTACTGAATTCTGATATAAGGGGATTCTAGAATTCCTTAAATTCAGTACAAAGTTAAATTAATATAAATAAAAAGATGATGTATAGTATGTCAAAAAGCACTTTAAGGAAGGAGTTGGAGAATGCTGGGAGTTTATTTTGTTTTTAAAATTTATTTATTTATTTTTTGTCACTTTGTTGTTCAATGCTGGGAGTTTGAAATATGCATAGCCAGCCAAAACTGGTTTGGCTGAGTAGATAGAGCGTCGGCCTGCGGACTCAAGGGTCCCAGGTTCGATTCTGGTCAAGGGCACGTACATTGGTTGCAGGCAAATCCCTAGTTAGGGGTTGTGCAGGAGGCAGCTGGTTGATGTTTCTCTCTCATCAATGTTTCTAGCTCTCTATCCCTCTCCCTTCCTCTCTGTAAAAAAAAAAATCAATAAAATATATTTAAAAAAATAAAAAATAAATATGCATAGCCAGAGTACTGTGAATTAGTATAGCAAACACCTGGACAATCAAGGAACTATGAATGGCCTTCCATTATCAAGACTGCTAATGCCTGATCATAACTTAAACATCTAAAAATAAACAAAATAGTTAGGCTATATATAGTTCTTGGGTAAAAGAGAATTAATTTTATCTAACAAATTAAATACATTTTCACTAGCTATTGATAAGCAATCAATTTATCTAGAGACATTTAAATACTATCCTTTTAAAAAAAAATTAGCAAAATAGGGTTATCAATAGATTTATGGCACTATTAGTACTATTTACAAAAGAAAGAAAAATACTCCTTTGGGAGAAGTTCTCTCTGAAGAATAATTTCAAGTGTCATATGTAAATGAGGATTTTTATTGGGACAGTGATAAAATAAAAACTCCCATGCAACAAGAGTCCTGGCCCAAATGGCTTCACAGGGGAGTGTTAACAAACATTCAAAGAAGAACTAACACCTATCCTCCTCAAATTATTACAAAAAATCCAAGAAAAGGGAAGACTTCCAGGTTCTTTTTATGAGGGCAGCATTATCTTAATTTCAAAACCAGAAAAGACACTACAAAGAAAGAAAATTATAGGCCATTATCTCTGATGGACATAGATGCTAAAATCTGCAACAAAATATTAGCAAACTGGATTTAGCAATACATTAAAAAGATCATGTACTATGATCAAGTGGGATTTATTCTGGGGATACAAGGTAGGTACAACATTCTTAAATCAATAAGTGTGATATCTTACAAACAGATTGAAAGACAAAAATCATGTGATCATATCAATAGATGCAGAAAAAAAAAAGCATTTCATAATATCCAGCACCCGTTTTTGATAAAACTTTCATCAAAGTGGGAATAGAGGGATCATATGTCAACACAATGAAGGCCAGATATGAAAAACTTATAGTCAACATCATCATCTTACACAACATGTGCCCTGACCCGGGATCAAACCCTTAAGATGAGCAACAAGTGCTCGCTTTGGCAGCACATATACTAAGATGAGTAACAAGACAGGGATGTCTGTTTTCACCACTCTTATTCAACATAGTACTGCAAGTCCTAGCCACAGCAATCAGACAAGAAGAAGAAATAAAAGGCGTACAAATTGGAAAGGAGTTAATAAAACTGTCATTATTTGCAGATGACATTAATATTGCACATAGAAAACACTAAAGACTTCACCAAAAAACTACTAAATGTAATAAACGAATTCTGCAAAGTGGAATACAAAATTAATATTAAAAAATTGGTGGCATTTTTATAAACCAATAATGAACTATCAGAAAGAGAAACTCAGAAAAAAAAAATCTCACTTACTATTACAACAACAACAAAAAATAAGGTACTTGGGAATAAATTTAACCAAGGAAGCAAAAGACCTATACTTGGAAAACTACTGTACACTGAAGAAAGAAATTGAGGAAGATACAAATAAATGGAAGCATAGTCTGTGATCATGGATGAAAGAATTAACATCATTAAAATGTCCATACTACTCAAAGCAATCTATAGATTCAACACAATTCCTATTAAAATACCAATGGCATGTTTCACAGATCTAGAACAAATATTCCAAAATTTGTATGAAACCAAAAGAGACCTAGAATAGTCTCAGCAATCATGAGAAAGAACAAAGTTGGAGATAACATAATAACTGATATCAAATTACACTACAATGTCATTGTAATAATAATAATAAAAAGCCTGGTTACTGGCATAAGAACAGGCATGTAGATCAATGGAAAAGAACAGAGAGCCCAGAAATAAACCCATTCCTTTTTGGTCAATTAATATTTGACAAAGAAGGCAAAAGCATACAATGGTAAACAGTTTCTTCAATAAAGGATGTTGGGAAAATTGGAAAGAGACATGAAACAAATGAAATAAGATCACCAACTTACACCACACATAATAATAAACTCAAAATGGATAAAAGACTTAAATGTAAATCACAAAACCATAAAAATCCTATTAGAATACATAGTAAAACTCAGACATTTCTCATAGCAATATTTTTGCTGATAGATCTTCTAGGGAATGGGAAACTAAGGAGAAAATAAGTAAATGAGATTACATCAAAAGCTTTTGCACAGCAAAAGAAACCATCAACAAAAGGAAAACAGAACCCACTATATGAGAGAACATATTTGCCAATGATACATCTGATCAGAGGTTAATTTCCAAAATATATAAAGAACTTATACAGCTCAACAACAGGAAGACAAACAACCCTATTTAAAAAATGGGCGAAGGACTGGAGTAGATACTTCTCCAAAGAGTACATACAGACACATGAAAAAATGCTCAAAGTCACTAATTATCAGAGAGATGCAAATTAAAACCACAATGAGATACATCATTTCACGTCTTTCAGAATGGCTATCATCAACAAATCAACAAACAACAAGTGCTGGCGAGGATGTGGAGAAAAGGGAACCCTTATGTACTGTTGGTGGGAATGCAGACTGGTGTAGCCACTGTGGAAAACAGTACCGAATTGCCTCAAAAGATTGAATATGGAAGTGCCTTTTGACATAGTGATTCCATTTCTGGGAAAATATCCTTAGAATCCCAAAACACCAATTCAAAAATATGTATGTACCCCTATATTCATGGCAGTATTTTTTAAAATAGCCAAGACCTGGAACTAGCCTAAGTGCCCTCAGTAGATGAGTGGATAACAAAGCTGTGGTACATTTACACAATGGAATACTATGCTGCATGGATGAACCTGGAAAATATTAAGCTAAGTGAAATAAGCCAGTAGAGAAAGACAAATACCATATGATCTCACATGGAACAGACTGACAACTGTCAGAGGGTTGGGTAGGGAAGACTGGATGAAAGGTGAAGGGATTAGCCAAAGTACATATATGCATAACCCATAGGCACAGACAACTGTGTAGTGATGGCCAGAGGGAAGGGGGGTGTGGGATGGGTGGAGGTAGGCATGGTAGGGTGAATGGGGCATATGTAGGTCAACAATAAAAATGAAGTAAAAAAAAAAAAAAATAGCCCAACCAGTGTGGCCCAGTGGTTGAATCAGGAGGTCATGTTCGATTTCTGGTCAGGGCACATGCCGGGGTTGCAGGCTTGATTGCCAACAGTGGGTGTGCAGGAGGCAGTTGATCAATGATTTTCTCCCATCATTGATGCTTCTCTCTCTCTTTCTCTCTGAAATCAATACAAAAATATATATGTACAAAAACATATATTTAAAAAAACCACAGTTTTAAGTATTTGAGATAGCAGTAAGAGATTCCATAAAAGTGTAAGAGAAACAAGTAAAAAATTCTCCTATTAAGGCTAATTCCATTATCATATTGTTAGATTGGCAATACATGGTAGATACTTACCTTATCTGAAAGATTATACCAGCCATAATTAAACGGACTTTCTAATGTATCCTGAGATAGGGTTATCACCACCAAATTATAACATGCTCTTGAAGAGTAGAGAAGAATGACTACAGAGCTTACGACAACAGTCTGGCACAGAGACATACCCTAAAAGAAATAAAAAATAATTATTACGATACTCTGCACATTTGTCATGACAAGGTATTCATCCACTTGGCTCAGCTTAATCACCTCTTACAGTGCACTATTAGAAAACACTGAATGATCAGTTGTTGAAATAACTTTTATCTTGCTTTACAATTCCTATTCTTAGAACCACATGTGTTTAATCTACCCTGCTAATACAAATAAGCTTCCTGCCAACTTGTCTAATGGCATATGGAAGGAGATTTGTTCTGTTAGTTACTTCACTCCCTTAAGTAATAGGCAAAAGATCTGAGTGATGATTGATATTAATAAGAGAGGTAGTTAATCATAATGAGGAAAGAATGGGAAATAGAAGCATTAATTCATTTGATACACTGAATTTCCAATGAGATACAAACTTAGAATATAAATACAGCTTCTATAATATTTGCTTCATTCTATTAGATTATATTATTTGAGTTAATCCCCTATTGATACCATTATGTTGAAAACAAAATGATGTAGGCACTAAAAAATGTACTTCCCAATCCATAATACTAAAACTGTTCACTGATTCCTCAAAATAGAAGGCCTTTATAACTTAGTGGATCTCAAATGGAGTGTGCATATTGAAAGAGGTGTGGTATCCACCATTGAAAGGATGTTAGCCAGGAGTTTGTATTTCAACACAGTTGGTTTATTTTGTAATCCTTTTTACCTTATGCATTAAAAACATTATTCTAGAAAATGACACGATTGCCAAAGAGATCCACTGCAAAAAAACACCACAACCTAATATATTGTGTTGGAAGTCTGTGTTTTGATTGTCACAATGATTAAGGGACAAAATGGCATTTAGAGCCAAAGGACCACAGATGCTATATGACCCGCAATTTGTAGGAAAGTTCTCCACATTAGAGAATTCTTCTCTGACTTTATACTTTCCAATGTCCTCCTCGACATTCACGAAGATGAAAAGCCTATTTATAATGATCTGACCTCTAACTGAATTCTGTTATATATATATAAACAAAGTTTATGTTTGTACAATTCAATAGATGCCAACATTTTGAGAAATACATATATCATGTAAATTAAGGGAAATTTGTGTTTTGTTCAGAATTTTGTCAAGAATGGTCAAATATTTCAGAAAATTATAAAACTGCAGCAGTATTGCTTGAGGTAATACATAAGACCCCAATCCAACACACCTGTAACAGTCTGCATTTATAGTGGTCCCATGCATAGCTTCTATGCATAGATATAAGGATCTGAGTACTTATTACACTATGCCCCAAAATTTACATATTGAAATATTTGTTAATTACTTATATTTCCCCTTTTTGTTATAATTATGGTAATTATATTTAATTTTTGAAGTTATGTGTGTAGGTAGGTTAAACAATCTTAATATCAGGATAGAAACAGGATAGTAAAAATGTGATTAGAGCCTTTGCTGGTTTGACTCAATGGATAGAGCATTGGCCTGGAGACTGAAGGGTCCTGGGTTTGATTCCGGCCAAGGGCACATGCCCCCAGATCACTGGTTCGCTCTCATCACTGATGCTTCTATCCCCCTCTCCCTTCCTCTCTGAAATCAATAAAAACATATTTAAAAAAAATGTGATAGAAGATTTGGTAGGATTACACTGGGTTTGGTAGGATTGAGAACCATTATTATAAATGACTTCCTTATAAGAACATTACATTTAGAGGTATCTAAGAAGAAAGAACTAAAAGATGAAAGATATCTTAAAAGATGTTGGGATAGTAACTGAGTACCTTCTCTAAGCTAACCCACCACCATACCAAAAAGTATATGTGAGCCTGGATCGGTTTGGCTCAATGGATAGAGCGTCGGCTTGGGGACTGAAGGGTCCCGGGTTCGATTCCGGTCAAGGGCATGTACCTTGGTTGCGGGCATATCCCCAATAGGGGGTGTGCAAGAGGCAGCTGATCGATGACTCTCTCTCATTGATGTTTCTAACTATCTCTCTCCCTTCCTCTCTGTATAAAATCAATAAAATATATTTTTTAAAAAGTATGTGTGAAAATAAATAAAACCCTAGCAATACTACATTTTTTAAAAAATCAAGGCTAATTTTTTTTACAATGTACATTTTTTTGTGAATTAAAAAATGTTGTTAATAAAACAGCTAACCTAAAACCAACCCAGATCTAAATTTTAAAGTACTATATTATTAAAGAAAAGTTAGGTAGCAAGAAAAGTTAGAATGTCCTAAGCATTACCATTGTTTAAAATAACCACAAGTACATTTACATAGTCAGTGCTTTAAGAAATAGAAATACACCTTATAATAAAGACCCTGCTTATAGATGTAAATGCTATAAAAATCTTTAAAAAAAGATTATAAGAGCAAAGAATTAGTAATACAAAGCAATTAATAAACTAAATTGCAGCCAAATTACATACATATAACAATGAAAACAGCTTATTGATTTAGAAAACAAAGTAAGCTTCTTCCTGCAAAATATAGAATTACAAAACAAAAAACAAGGACCACATGGGAAGTGTTGTAAAAAGTTAAAGAAAATCTTCCTAAATGAACAGTCATAACAAACAATTCTATTTAGGAGCAATCCTCAAAAAATAATTATCCCTTCTATTTCTGACATTTCTATACTATTTTTTAAAAAAAAATTCCATTCTTAATAAATAAAGAAGAGTTATACCTCACTCTAGTGTGGTTTAACATTAACAGTTCAGTATGCATATAATTAACTATAGTTCAATATTTGTTTATAGGTGTTTTGACCATTTGTACACTTGTGTAACCAAAATCTCTACCAAAATAGAGGATATTACATTATACAAAGGTTCCTTACACCCCTCTCCTCAACTATTTTGTTTTTACCACAAATAGTTTTGCCTTCTTTAGAACTTCTTATAAATGAACTTATAAAATATGAACTATTTGATAGGTTTCATTCATTTAGCATAATGTTTTGAAATTCATCCATGTTGTTGGATGTATCAGTAGTTAGGTCTTTGTATTGTTGAGGTGGATAGTTAGGTCTTTGTACCAGTATTGCTGGTTTGCTCAAAAGTTTCATAGCATTGCCGAAACCGGTTTGGGTCAATGGATAGAGCGTCGGTTTGGGGACTGAAAAGTCCCGGGTTCGATTCCAGTCAAGGGCATGTACCTTGGTTGTGGGCGCATCCGCAGTTGGGGGTGTGCAAGAGGCAGCTGATGGATGATTCTCTCTCATCGATGTTTCTAACTCTATCTCTCTCTCTCTTCCTCTGTATAAAATCAATAAAATATATTTAACAACAACAAAAAAGTTTCATAGCATTAACACTGCAGTCCCAGAAAACTTCTCAGTATGGGGCAAACCAGCACAGCAAGTTCCACTAATCCCATTGTATAATCATGTGAGTTTGTTTATAAGACAGTTCATTTTTATGAACAATTGTTTAAGACAGAACAATTTCTATGAACATTCTTATACAAATCTTTTTTGTGGACATATGGTTTTACTTAAAAAAAAAAAAATACCAAAGAGTGAAATTGCTGGGTCATATGGTAGGTGTAAATTCAGCTGTATAAGAAACTGCCAGATCTTTCCCCAAATGGATGTGCAATTTAAAACTTCCAACAAAGTACTGGAGTTCCAGTTGCTCCACACTTTAGCATTTTGCGTTGTCAATCTTTTTGTTTTTAGCCATGCTGGTAGATGTGTAATATATCATTTTGGTTTTAATTTGCATTTCCTCAATGACTAATGAAATTGTGCTCATTGGCCATTTTTTTCTAGATTCTTTGTGAAGAACCTATTCATAGCTCCCACCACTTCTAAGTTGTTTATTTATTAGAGTTGTATTTTGAAAATTTCCTTGCAACTCACATAGAAACACAACAAGAACGGGTACTGTGGTTTTAAAATAATTTTTCCCAAAAACATTTTAAAATCTTAATTTGATATTGAACTATTTTACATATTAATCATCCTTTACTGTAAAAGAAAAACATTTTCATATTTAAGAATTTATTATTACTTAGGAATAGGGAGTTATTGTTTAGTGGATACAGAGTTTCAGTATGGGACGATGAAAATGTTCTGGAGATGGACAGTTGTGATGGATGCACAACAATGTGAATGTACTGAATGCCACTGAACACTTAAAATAGTTAAAGTGGTAAATTTTTTGCTTTGTATATTTTAGCACAATAAAAGTATGTCTTTCTCAACACACAGCATTCCTGTTTACCTCTAAGATGCTGAAAAAGATGAAAGTGTTAGAATTCTCTGACTCAACAAAGAATCTCCTTCAAAGGAACTGGGTGAAAATAGTTTTGTTTTCTCAAATAAAATGTCATAAAAACTATCTTTGGTCCTGTCTGGATAGCTCAATTGGTTAGAGCATCATCCTGTCCTTGAGGGTTTGATTCCCTGTCAGGACACACACTGAGGTTGGGGTTCAATCCCCCATCAAGTGTATAGGAGGCAACCAATTGATGTTTCTCTCTCTCTCTCTCTCTCTCTCTCTCTCTCTCTCTCTCTCTCTCTCTCTCTCTCTCTCTCTCTCTCTGTAAAAACATATTCTCAGGTAAGGATTAAAAAACAATCTTTCAATAGATTTTTATAAATGTAAGTACTTTGCCTTTCTGTGTTTTCTACAACAGAACATTTTTAAGTAGCATTATAGTCCAAGCATTATTTTGAGACTAATTATTCAGAATGTAAAGAAAAAGAAATTGAAGTTTTAAATGCAGGTGTGCTGATGACTTTAAATACCAAAAACTGGTTTTATAATTTCCAAAGTGGAAATGAAAAAGCCATTCAAGCATTTCACAGGCTGTTATTATACTACATTGGCTGGTAAAGTTCCCACAATAGCTGAGAGGCCAGGAAAGCCTACGTGGGTGACATTGCTGAACGAATGCCTGCTGGATGTAAAGTTCATAAAATAAATTATGTCATTGCCAATTCCCAACAATACAGACATTTACTGATTTAAAATTTTAATTGAAAACATAAATGAATCTGAAGTAGCA